GAACACCCTTTTTCTCCATGTCTAAGGTTTCTACTACTACTGAGCCCCTAGTGCCCTGTCAGACTGCCCAGCCTCATAGCGCTTCTGCTTGGCTCAGCTGAGAGGGTTGTGGCCTTCCTAGGCTTTTTGATAATATCACAGGATAGGGCAATGATCATGCTAGGGACCTTCCTATTTCTTTCCTTCCAGCTCTACCAGATGTTCTCAAATATCCTCAGTTACTTGCCTGGCCCACACAACAAAATATTTGCAGAATTTGATGATCTAAAAGCCTTTGTGTCAGAGGAGGTGAAGATACACCAAGACTCCCTAGATCCCAGCTCCCCTCAGGATTTCATTGACTGCTTCCTCAGCAAAATGCAAGAGGTAAGGACACAGCATAAAGCCCCAGCTCATCCCCAAACACACCTACGCTGTGACCCTTCCCTCTCTTAAGTAACACAGACATTGGGATGACCCCTTCTTGGGCAGCTAGGCTGTGCAGTGGGAAGACACCAACAATACCCCAGATAGTGCCTGTGCTAGAGTTCACACCTGTGGATCTACACACTCGCCAGTCACTACCTGCAGCTGCTTTGACAGCGAGAACTTCATCTGCTCTCACTGAAACAGGGACATTTGCAGTCTGGTCTTGCAGTTCTTTCACTGGAAAGCAGTTAGCAAAGCAAGGGCAAACAGGCAACTACGTACTATTTGGTGCACAGCTTGAAAGAAGGTTGCTCTGGGATTGAGTTTACTGCACAAAGATAGCATTGCAATACCCCAGATGGCTGCTGCAACTTACAGAGAAATGCAACAGCTCTAGGTGAAAAGAAAGGCCTGGGATGACACAAGAAAGGGCCACTTTCTTGTGAGAGAAACAGCCCATCCTTCTCCCTAGGAGAAAGAGAATCCCAATTCCAGTTTCTACATGAAGAACCTGATAACCAGCACGTTCGACTTGTTCATTGCTGGAACTGAGACAACTAGCACCACCGTAAGATACGGGCTTCTGCTTCTTCTCAAATATCCAAAGATACAAGGTACCAGTCTGACCTCCTCATCTCTAGCTATTCCCCTGGGCTGGGTGCATGTCTAACATCACATTCTTCTCACAAAATCTTTCCTCTCTTTCTCATCTTTCACCCAAATGGGAAAACTCCTTGCACTGTCATTCCCCAGGGTGGCCATTAGAGACCCCTCAGCTTCACTGGCATCATCAGCTGCACTCACCTCACAGCCAAGGACTTGACTGTCCACATCTTTATCTCCCAGTAGTCTTATTTAGCCAAGTCACTAGGAAGACATTCTTTGCATGGGCCGCCGTGAAGCTGTGCTCTAGTCAACACCAAAACCAGTATCAAGGCTCCTGTCATCTGTGATCTGTAGACAGCTTAGGGAACCTGTTTAGGCAGGTTTGGTTTCATTTACCCATTTTATGGTTTGTGCCTCTCATGACAGAGAAAGTTCAAGAAGAGATTGACCGGATAGTGGGACGATCACGAAGACCTTGTGTGGCTGATCGAACCCAGATGCCCTACACAGATGCTGTGGTCCATGAAATGCAGCGCTTCATCGCCCTCATCCCCCTGGGTCTCCCTCACACTGTGACCAAAGACACTCGCTTCAGAGAGTACGTCATTCCCAAGGTTGGTGGGCACGCTCCCTCAAGTTCAACAACAAGGTGGCAGCATATTTGCTCTTAAGCTGTCAATTACAAGTCAAAAGCTAGAAATGCTGTGGCCTGACCTCACTGTTGCCCAGCCCTTCATGAAGGTTTTATCCCTAAGCTCCTGTAGCTCACTTGCAATCCCTTGTTGCCCCTCTATGGGCCAAGACTGGAACTGTAGCTCTGTCCAACACTTGCTTTACTTATCTGCAGAAACACAGTGGGTTCATAAAAAAACAGAGCAGTGACTCCTCACACAAAAGGCAGCAAAGCCATGTAACTGCTCACCACCATCCAGGAGAGCCTGGGCACATGCTTGGAAGCAAAGTCAGTTGGTGGTTATTGAGCCCAGAAAGCCCCTGAGCCTGTGCTGGAGGGTGTTTGCATTCAAGGGAACAAGCAAAACCTGTTTGCCCTGTTCTTACACACTTGAGGCAGTCACTGCTGGCCACAGTCAGAGGCAGGCTGGTGGGGTAGAATGACCCATGGCCTGTCCTGGCCCACTGCAGCAATCCTCATGGCTCTTCTGGGTGTCTGTGTACCCATCAATGGCTGGCCAGGAAGAGGGAAGGAAGAGGATTGTGGCAGAAGAAATTCATCAGGAGAGGGGAAGAGAGTTTCATTTGAATAACCTTGTGTGATTTTGCTTTTTTGGGTTGCAGAAAAGAAGGAACGCAGTGCATCTATAAATTCATTACTGTGAAACACTAAGAAAGAGGAAGATTTAGGTGGGGTGTTCTCAGATGACCAGAGCAAGGTGATGATAAATGGTCTGAAAGTGAGAGGGAGCATTCAGAAAGATCAGCCAGCAACTGTCCCTGCTGTGACATCTAGCAGGGTCTCTCTAAAGCTGCTTCCACAAAGGAAGGGTCCGCAAAGGGAAACTAAAGGCACTGGTAGGGCTGTGCTGGGAAACTCAGTCTTAAATTGGCAATCAGTCAGATTAAGTGATCTAACTTGCATCCCCTTCATGTCCTGCTCTTGTCCTTGTGTTACCTCAGGGCACCACAATCTATCCCATCCTCAGTTCTGTCCTCCATGACAGTAAAGAGTTTCCAGACCCGAATGAGTTCAACCCTGAACATTTCTTGAACAAGAATGGCACCTTTAGGAAGAGTGAGTTCTTCATGCCCTTCTCAGCAGGTAAAGCACAGATGTTCTCTCTTCCTCTCTTTGTTGACCTCCTCCTCTGGAGACCACCCTGCCTTTCCCTATAACACACACCCCCTTTTCCCAGCATGGTCTCACTGGTGCTTCCTTGGGGCTCCCTGCTCTCTGAATAACTCCTCCCTGCTTCTCCCTTCCCCAGATGCTTATCCCATCTTGTTCAGGCCTGGTGGCTTCTCCAACCTCCTATTAGGAGTTGTGGATGTAATGACATGAATGGGACCCATCAACATTTTCTAGAATACCTATCACCTTCCTACACAACCACCAAAGTTAATCCTTAACCAATCTGTCTTTCTGTGGTAGCTCCACTTTTTCCCAGCACTTCAAAGTACCTGTCAGGCCCCAACCCTCCACTTTCTTACCAGTGCTTTACGTCACCTTGCCTGCTCTCATCTTGCCTCTTGTGATGCCCCCTCCATGTTTAAGACTTCTCCTGTCACCATTCTTCCTTCACACACTCAACCAAAATGCCAAGGGTCTTTCTCCAACAAAGGAGAAAAATGGACTTTTGCAAATCTTTCTTGCAAATGTTCTTAGGATTACTGAGTCATCTCATTGCTGTGGCTGTATCTGGTAAATAAAGCTGCACAACACATTTGCTTAGTACAAACTCTGGTCTATATGGCAACACCTGTTGAGTTCTATTTGCTGTTTTCACCTCCAGGGAAGCGAATATGCCCTGGAGAGGGCCTGGCACGCATGGAGATATTCTTACTCATAGCCACCATCTTGCAGAACTTCACCTTGAAGCCCATCATTGACCCTCAGAAAATCGACATAACCCCAACACTGAGTGGAACAGGCAACGTACCTCCTGCCTACCAGTTGTGTGCTCTCCCCCGCTGAAAAGCACAAAACCACTCTCCACACTGCCCTGAGCCCAGCTATTCCTTTACATCTCACTTACTAAAGCCAATGGCAGAAGCATCAGCCCACTTTCCAAGGCCTCCAGGAAGGCAGACCAAACACAGGTACCTTGCACAGAGCAGACACCTTCAAAGCCTCCCAGAACTGCTCCACCACATCACAGGGAGGCCCTCAGTGACACTGCAGCCTGTTACACCGATGCTTTGTGCACAGGATCACTGAGTGAAGTGGCTGCATCAAACAGCTTATTTTCTCCCAAACACAGCTCCCATGGCTGTCCATGACCTGCTTCTCCCACAGGACATGTCCCACCAAGAGCAGCATGCTTTGCAGATGGATAGTGCTGCATATGTGTATGTTAATGACCCAATAAAGAAAAATCTGTTTATGAGGATTTGAGATTTTATTTTCATTGGGTTGGGACAGCACCCACATCTGCTGCTCCACTGCAGAGTAGGTCTGCAGCATCTGTGGCCTTCCCTATGGGAAGGCTGTCCCTCCTGGGGCAAGGGTCCTGCCTGTTTTTTCCATTGGACCCACTGCTGCTGCCTGCAAGGATCCCTGGCCAGTCAACAGCACACCCACAGTTGGGAAGGGTCACAGTGTGGGATGGGAAGGGGATCATGCAACCTGGGAGCTATCAACAGCTCTATTTGCTCTTCTCAGGGCTGCCAATCCTGCTGCCCACAGCTGAACAAAGGACAGCTGCAGCATTCCTCCTGGAGGAGAGAGCTCACTGCTTCACATCCCCCCCCATTCAGAGGCTGCCTTCACCCCCTCAGTGGGATCTCTGGCTGCTCCTGGGACACCTCTCATTTCTCAGGCACTCTATGGCCCAGTCTTTCCACAAGCTGTGAGCACCTGCCCTATGGCTCCTCTCTGTTCTCCTCCCACCATGACCCCCAGGCCTTCTGCTTCTCCTGTCACTGTGGCCACTCAGCACCCCCACATGAATCAAGATGGGGCTGCTGAGGAAATAATTTCTCTGGAGTGTCTCTCATGCCTCAATCACACTCCCACCCACCTCACAGCTGAAATGAAGGTACAGAGGAGAAAACGGCCTGAGAGACCACTGCAGGTTAGGAACAGCTGAGAACTAAGGCAAGTTGTCATCACAGGGTTAGGTTCTGCAGCTGGAGTTGCATTCTTCTTCCAATTTTCTTGGGCATATCACTTATGGTCTGGACTCCTGCCAAATGAAGAGTACATCCCTGTCTTTGCCGGTAGTTGCAAGGAGCTCAGGCACCTGGGTGATGGGGACTCCAACCAACTCTTTGGCTGCTCTTTTCTACCATCAGTATCACTGCAAGGATACAGATGTTCTTTATTAAAATGAATTAATATAGGGGACAGCAAAATCATCTCTCCCAGAGAGCTTGTGTAGTCCAGGGGAATCTGATTTTGCTTCCACATATCAGAGACATAATTCCAAACAAGTTCTTTCCTCATCCAAAGTCTCTTTGTCTTGTTCTCCACAAAATTTCATGTATGCACAAAGAGAAAACTCTTTTGTTCATAAACTGCAACTGTGTGAGCCCAGGTGTCCAGGAAAAGGATTGTGTCTGTTACTTCTAGCCCCAGACACTATTTGGTTCTTTTATTTTAGTGATATGGAGGATGGTTTTCATAAATGGATTCCACAACAGGTGGCTCTCTTCTGGGCTTTTTTGTCCTCATGGGCTTTGGTTGGTTCTGGATGTCCGATTTGTGGTGTTTGTCTTGATCTTCATTTATATAGATATTTGTTGCCCCTTGCATCATGGTCATATAAAAGTCCTAGAGACAAAATATAGTTTCTGTGATGGTTGTCACAAGGTACTCAGAGACCTTGTGAGTACTGCAGAAAATACAATATGCAAGAATTCCCACCTCCCTTAGGAAATGTTTAGCAGTATTTTGAAGAAAATGTCATGTTTGCTTACTTGTCAAGTTCATCCCTCCTCCTTCCTCCATTTTTGCCTATGCAGGATGCAGTAATAATGCCTCGTTTAGAGTTAAAACAATGGCAAACTATTGGTGGCCTCTCATCTGGGATCACATCAAATTGATAGACAGGCAACTAGAAACAGCAGTCATGTAGGAGCCCCAAGCAAGCACAGAGAAATTACCACAAGTTCTCTTTCAGTCTAGGGCTACCATTAAAGCCAGTCCTTCATTTAGTAACTCATTCAACAGTGTGTGTGCCATGTTGAGAATCAGTTAATAGATGACTTACATTTGGAGGTCTGGGAGGGGATGATTCATATTCATGTTCTTCCTGCCCATCGGGATGTTGATTTGTCTGAAGCAATGAACAAAACAGTGACAAACATCTATCTACAATTCATGAACAACTGCATAAGAAGCACAGGGCAGTGAGAAAACGTTCTGTTACTAAACAGCTCCAGAACTCAGGACATACTCCGGGGATAAATAACCACACAGGGGATAATACTGGGGATGATATCCAACATATTCTAAGCTGAATGTCAAAACATTCTTTCATTTGGAATAATCACAGGGTCCACTTGGTGCCTGCCCATGAGAATGACCTTGCAGAGGGGATACCTCAATTGCTGAGTGCTGCTTTTATTAGAAAATCCAACATCTGTTTTTTTAACATAGGGGAAAACTCTCACTTTCATATTTACACCCCGGGGAAAAAAAAAATAAAATTATGTTAACCAACAACTACAGCGAAATAATTTCCCTCAGTACTGTTACATCTTCCTTTCCAAAGCAAGGAAACAAAGATCCATGCAAGTACTAGAGCTAGTTAAAAACATTTGTGAAGTGGCAGGGGAAGCAAAGGGCCCTTCTAAGTAGAGAACTGTCAGTGTCTGGCTGCCAGAATGCTTCATGGCATTCTTTCTCTATAGGCAGGGTGACTGTCTTTTTGGTGGTGTGGGTGATTTTTTCATACGGAGGAAGGAAGTGTGATGCTACAGCAACCCCTAACTCTACCCCGGCACTGGGGAGGTAGGTAGAGCACCAAGACCCACCCCATGGGCTGGAATAGAGGAAAAAGGTGACCAAACTAAACACACTATGAAACACCCTGGAAGCATTTCTGGAGCTAAGTAACAGCATTTTGGAGTGAGAGGACCCCTAAATTAATGACATCCACTGAAGAACAGTGCTGACAGTTTCAGGATTATTTTTTTTTTATTTCCTTCTGGTTAACTGACCACTTGGCAGTCCCCCTTCAGTATTTTCACATTAATTTCTCTTTTATCCTTATGAACCTTCAACTCCTAGGCTGAGGTCCAGCCTTTGAGAGACATAGAGAGACACTCCGAGTGCCAAGGGATGTGGTCTTGAATTTCCTGAGAGTTGCAGAGGGTATTAAATCAGGTTTCTGATGTGGAGGTCTAGGTTTGGAAGTAGCAAGACACTAGGAGATGGAAGGTAGTCACCTGATTCCAGCTGTAGTTCTTCCACTGGAGAACACAGACGACCACCAAGATGACTGCAAGGACCAAGGCCAGAATGCTGGGTATCCCTGCAGCTACTCCAACCACCCAGGGCTCATATAACTTACAAAGAAAGACAGATCAAATGCATGCAGTGTGATCCTTTAACTCTGTGATTAGTAGCTGAGTGAGTGGCTACCATAAAGCAGCAAAAAAAAAGACAATGCAAGGAACAAAACCGCAGCCCTGGATCAAAACAGTAATGTTCAGCCCAGCTGTACTGCACACTGGGATGGACAGGGGAAGCAGAGATTTGATTTCAGAGGGAAAACTTTCCACATAATCAACTGCATTAAGTAATGAAACAAACTCTTACCCCAGAAGAACAATCTGCCTGGACAGTTGTGCTTCCAGATGGATGTCCAGAAGTCTAGAAATAAGATGGTTATAGAATATTTACAACAAAGTGTTTCAAATTACGTAACATACAAGCCAGGAGAGAGACTAAGTGAGCAGTTGCAAGACTTTAACAACAGCATGTAGTCAGTAACACATGGAGCACCTAGCTGTGTCCTGAGGTCATGGCACATGGTACTTGCCAGTCATAAGCAAGAACCCAAATTCTGGTCCTTCCAACAATGACTCTGAATGAATGGAAGAAATATATGGTTTCCTCAAAAAGGGGCTTCAGGCTGACAAAATGCATGTACAAAGCATAAACAAGCAATAAGCACAAATATATGCCAGAGAAAGCTGGACTCAGAAGAAGCAGCACAAATGGGAGTAGGAAACCCCAAGAACATGTGTTTTTGCAAGTCTGCTCTGTTCTTGTCATGATGTTGGAGACATCTGCCTGTATGGGCTTGCCTGGAGAGTCTAATGGTGCTTGGTTTGCAGAGGCAAGGCAAGCAGTGCAGGGCACTGGCAAACCTGGTGTACCCCAAACCAAAACTGTCTTTTTCTAGCCATTGCAAAATGTCACACCTGGTTCCAAATGACAAGGCAGCTTCAGCAAGGAGGTAGTCCACCACACAGGCAGTGATGATGGCAGGTGCCTCACTTGTTATCCCCTCTCCCAGGCTGACCTGCCATCTCAAGCTGACACTGCTCCAGCTGAGAGCCACAGGACCCAGCATCCACCCCAGACAGCTGTGGGGAGCGAGCTTTGGGAACAGACCAGAGCTCAAGAGCTGTACATGTCTCCTCAAAGGCCAATAGTCAGCCAGGTCTCTTCTGGCCCTCACAGCTAACAGATGATCTGTTTAACGAAGAAAAACCATGATCAATACCCACTTCTACATCCATCTTCCAGTAACTCAGCAGCCAGAAAAATTGCCCTTCCCCATTCAGAGGCAGATTGTGGCTGGACTGATGATATGCAATGCCTATAATTGAGCAGAAAAATGCAATTGATCCCTGGCTGGATAACTCAGCAGTAAAATGCCATTGAACCCTGGCTGGGAAGATGCAAAACCAGAAAGGGTCTGTGTGCCAGAACAGAGACTACATTTCATCGTATAGCAAGCAAGAAGGTAGGATTAGAAAGCCCAGATCTTTGCACGCTCACAACTTTTTGTGGGAAGAGAGAGGAAGCCATGTACTGTAGCAAAGAATTAACAGTGTCACGTATCTTAATTGAGTGGCAGAACATGTAAAGGATATTCTGGTAACTGCTGCAATGGCTAATAGCCTGCTCCCCTCATCACCCCCCCTCTCACAGGGAGAGAACAGAAATGAAATCTGAAACGACATTCATGCTCCCTTTGGTGAAAGGAGCAGGAAGAAAGTTCAGCTGCATTACAGGCTTAGCAAAGTCACCTCTAGCTGGACTTGCTCATTTGTAAATAAAAAGGTAAACAGGCACAATCGTAGGAATCTGGGTACTTTAATCATCTCACTTGTCTTTACTGTTACAATATAATGTCAGCAGCATTAGGACAGTCTGTCAGAAGATCTGCATCAACACTCACCCATAAAAGCAGCAATTTCTCTTCCAAAAACCCACCCCCCAGCTCCTACAGATAACGATGGTGAGTAGTCAGTTGATCTTCATTCTGTGCAATGTACTTACTGAATTTACAGTTGTGTTGTAAAACGGTGAGGAAGATGGCATTGTCTCCTGCAGAGAAATCAAAAGAAAGAGGAAAAACAGAACTGAGTATTAGCAACTGGGAGATGTCCCTGGCCAGATATGGGAGTGGGGAGGAGTACTTCTCAAGTGACTGGAAATGACAGCATGAGAATATACTCATTTGAGCTGAACAGGGAAGGCATACTAGTTACTCCAGAGAAAACAAGAACCATGCCATGCTATTGAAGAAAGTGGTATGAGGAAACATGAACTGGTTTGCCTGAATTGTTACCACCATGCAGGGCCTCTGAGTAGTCAGGACCTTAACATTTAATGCATTTACCCTGACAGCTCACCAGTGAGAAAGGGTAAGGACGTTTAACTCCACTATGGCTTGGGAGCAGAAGTACGTGGTAGCTTGTGAAATAGCAAGGACTTTTGCCTGCAACCTTTGAGCTGCATACCAATCACATGTGCCTGCTCCTATTGATTCAAGGGCAGCTGAGAATGATAAAAACACATTAACTCCTTCCTGACTACATAGAAAGGGAGATATTCAGAAGAGTCTCAGCTAGATGTGCTGTCTGGCAGCTGGGATATAGACACTTTCTGGGAGGCTCCATTTGGGAGAAATGCAGAAAGAGGCTTGGAGACAGTGGAAAGCTGCTCATAACCTCTTCTGCTGGAAGAAATACTGGGTCCATTATTACATGGTAAGCTCTGTGGGCAGCTGAGGCTGTCTGTAGCAATTGGTGCTAGCAACAGTGTTGGGAATTGTACTGAGGAGAAGCTTAGATTCAGAGGTGGTTTATCAGGACAAGGAGTGCAGGAACCTCTCCTCTCTTATAATCCAGAGACAAGTAGTATGCACATCTGTATGAAACAAGTCTTTTAAGACATTTAAGTTCAATGTTATTCTTGAACCCTAGTCAGTCCTGGAAACACATGAGAATTAAATAAGTTGGAGTGAAAGAGCAGAGCTGATGAGATCTCCCTTGGAACTGAAACTCTGGTGCTCTGGAAGGTGACGGGAAAAGGCTGAAAGAGCTTCGCTTTGCATCCACAAAAAGCCAGTAGAGAGGGAGCTGGCAGAAAGCTGTCTTTTCCTGACTGCATGAAGTTCTGCTGCTTATGCACTGAGGAGGGCCTGGTTACTTCAGAAGAAGAAAGTCAGTGCAGTAAAAACTTGTCAATAAAAGTCTGGATACTGCAGGTTATGGAGAAGGAAGACTCAAAATGCAAGCAAGCTATAAGAGTTTTAACTCAGTCTAAATTCTGCAATCTAGGATTGAGGTTCATCACTGCATGTTGAGGACCATAATCCACATCAAAGTCAAAGAGGGGAATCAGGTTATTGAAAGATCCAGAATTCATCCTCCCATTACAGATACTAGCTAGAGGCTTGTTTAGAAGTGTAGCCTTTATATGCAACATTGTACTGGAAGCTTAACTTTTGAACAGCTTAGTTTACAGGACCACAGATATTGGGAAATGCCTCTGAGCATGCAGACACAGCTAGCAATCGGTCACCAAGTGAAAAGGATCTCTTTCAGACTCCTTAGAGGTGGAGATATTGCTGTGCCCAGGCTGTCAGCTGGGAATGAAATACAGCAGACATTTCTCACCCAAACTTTCTACTGTGCCTTCCCCAAACTTACTTACTGAAACACACCTTTGTGAACAGCTGATTGTTAACGTTTGAGCTTCAATTGTCACATTTGTCTCTTCTCTGAAGCCATAAATTTATTTTATTTCATTTTTCTTGGTTAAAGATAGAGGACTTCATTATTATTTCTAGGACTGTGCATGCAGGTTTTAATTACAAAATGCAGGATTTATGGTATCTTAAGACTGTCATATTTGGAAACTGAAGTGTCTAACCTGCTAGCAAGCAAATAGAGAAAGCCATAGTAAGACAATGAGAAACAGAATGTTTCTCTCAACTGCACAATGGTTTAAAGCCATTGTCTCAAATCAGTTGCAAAAATGCAAGCTTGTATGCTAGCCATGTCAGGACAGATAAGGATGTCCTTTACATGAAAATTACTACTGACTTCCAATTTATCTACTTCAGAAAAGAAAGGACACTCCTAATCCTCATGATTAAAACTTCTGAATTTCAAAATGTAAAGTGCATGTAATTCAATATTGTGATATCTTTCTATGCCTGCAGTGCCCCTTCTGTTGCTCAAAGATTGTCCTGACTACCCCGTGGAAATATTTACAGGGCTCCAAGTATCAATGACCCTGATATGAGTCAGGTAGGTTTCTCAGCAGCACTAACCACAGCATCTACTGTCTGCCAAGAGCACATCCTAGGTGAGAGAAAGCTTTGTACTGCAGATGAAGTAAAAAATAAATGTTGCAACCTTTCCCTCTCCCTTTTTGCCACTCAGTAACTTACAGCATCCTGCAGACCTGGAAACAGGAGAGACCACAAGGAGACAGGCCTTTTCCCCAACCAAAATCAGCACCACTGGGCCTCTGTGGCTCAGTACAGAGAACTTCTCACTGAAGGGAGCAGGGGGGGATGGATGAATGCAGTTAACACACATGTCCAGTGATCAGATGCTCTGGATTTACTTCGATTTACCACAGAAGCTTGACCTCTCAGCATCAACTCTTCAACATATGGATAATACTCTCTTTCCCCTAGCTGCTCTCACACTTGCTCAAACTGTGATAGCTCATGGGCAGGGACCACTTTCCTCTTCTATTACTCCAGGGGTAACTTCTGGAAGATCTTGGATGGAGCTGGCACAGGCTACGTGCCATACGTGCCTATGTGGTAGGGCTGTGGAAGAGACACAAAGGGAGATCCCAAGGGGATCAATATGGGGAAGTGAAAGAAGATCAACAGAGGACAGTGAGACCAAAGCTACTAATCTATTATTTCTGTTTATATTCTACTAACTTTGTGTTGTACTCCCCTAGCTCTGTTGTTGACCCAAAATCCTCTGAGAGCATGTTCATGTCAGTGAATGCTCATGGAATTAATTCATTATTATATTTCAGAGGCAAATGTTGCTTTAGCCTCAGAGCCAGCTAGCTTCTGGAAGGAAGGAGGTTTTGCTCCCAGCCACTCTCACCTGGCCATTTCTAAACAGACAGTGTGCATTTCAGCAGGTCCCCATCTCCCAGGACAGAAAATCTCCTCAAAAAGGGTCCACTGCAAAGACTCCTCCTTGCTTCAACCACCCTAAGACTAGGCAATACCTCCAAGACAGAAAAGCTGGGGCAGATGCTAAAATCCAAGCAGGTGTCTGAAATCATTGGTTGCACTGTAAGAAAATGCAGAGCTAACAAAAGGGCCAGCTTGACTGATCTGGTCAAGGCAGAGAAGGCACGGTTAAACACTCCTGGGAAGCTCTCATTCAACAGCTAAGTGGTCCCGTGGTCTCACCTCTTCTGCACTCTGACCTTCTCCCATGACTTCCATCCAAACAAGACCCAACAGACCCGACCTGACAAGACAACTCCCACTCACCATTTCACTCTTCTTCCCGAGAAATTCCTGCATGCATTAACAGAAGACTGCCTGATGCCAGGGTTAGCACTCCTTTTAAGATGAGTTTCTTTTCCTGCTACAAACTGAACTGCAGACCTGCAAAGAGGAAGAAATGATAGCATTTCTCTCAGGCTGACTCAGACAACCTGGCTGGGCCCCAGCGCACCTGATAGAGCCAGGTCCCGGACGGGGGCAGGGTCTGGCACGTGCCTGGGAAGTTGGACTTCAGGGTGCTGGCAACTCTGCCTCTTCTCTGCTGGCCCCACAGCAAATAAAACTGCTCCTGTCTCCGAGAGCATGTTTAATATGTACCACAAATCAGCCTGAGGGGAATCCTGGTTTTGCCTTCTAAGGCTAGCACCTCATCTGCCAAAGCACATTTGCTGGAAATGCCAAAGTGGGGGATTTCTGCTGACTTGATACCGAGACTAATGAGTGTGTCTAGAGGTCTGAGGCATCCTTCTTTGTCTGAATTATGCTGTACCATGGGGTACTTGTGTTTTTAAAAGACAAAGTATCTGCTGGCAAACAATCGATGTTCCCTTCAGCTTCTTACATGTGGTGACTGGACAGTCTTTGGGTGCTGTCCAGAAAATGAAGTCTTGTTTCTAGAAATAAGCAGAGAAAATGAGGACTGGCCATGTCACACAGCACTAGTAGCAGGCAGTCATTGAGGGAACATGGTAGTTGAACAGCAGGGAAGATATAAGCCTGCAAGATCTTTATACATACAACACACTAAGAACCTATTTATCTGACTCAAATTACAACAGCTGTGACATCAATTCATGTGTCACCTTTTTTACCTCTTATTTCCCACCAGCTTCACTTGGGTTGCATTGTTTCAATATTTCAACATCACTTTGGACTGCAAATCTCGGTGTGACTGAAGGCTCCTGGCCCTCAATTTGGAAATTATGTCCATCTGGTGACCTGACTGTTAGCCTCCAGGCTCATTCCAGTGTTATTCCAGTGTTATACTGTACTATGATACTCTGGTGCAGGAGGTGACATGGGGATGCTTATTCCTTACTTCATCTCCCTTGCTTCTTTGCCTTTGGGAACAGCTGGGAGGAAGTTCGCCACGACAAAGGTTCAAGTGGCCATGACACACACCACAGGAAATGTTTTGGGTGGTGGGACATGCATGAACTGTGTATGTGTTGGGGAAAGAACAAAGACATGTTCCTTAGCAAGCAGAGTAGACATCAAGCAGTGGACAGAAAGGGGAAGAAAAGCATTTTAGGTGCTGCCTAGCTACTGAGCCTTTTGCTGCCTCAGTGAGAGCGCAGCCCACAATTTTGCAGTAAGGAACATTCTGCCTCATGCTCATCCTGCTGTTCTTTGCACAGCAGTTTTATGTCCCAGGGTCTTTGGGACCTGCTGCTGAAGGCTGTACCTTGTAGTGTAGTAAATGAACCTGCTCTTTTCAAGGCTACTTATGGACTAATTCCCAGATCCCTAATGTTTATTGCTGCAGATTGGCATCTCAGCCCACTAGAGCATGAGGGCAGAACACGAAACACAACGATGTAGCCCTATGGCTGACCAACTTATTCCTCAGTGCCCTCTTGACTGCAAAAGCCAAGACAAAGCTAAAGGCTCAAGGGAAAGTTGCTTCCTGCAGAGAGTAAATCCCACCCAGTACTAGCAGTAGACACAAACAACAGTTGGCAGAACAAGGAACGTATTAAGAAATTTCCTCCCTTGAGGAAGTGGTAAATGCATGCATACAACAGAACGTGCAATTAAATCCACAGTCTTTAATGAATGCAGAGACTTGTTTTGGGCACAGGTACATTTGTGATTGCTCTCACTTCCTCTTCTCACCCTCTTAAAAAAATTATTTTAGTTAGTGAAATGTAGAACCACATAAAGACCAGAATACATGTACAGACCTTAGAGAGTCAGACATTTTTTTCTTAAGAAACTTTCACACATTTAGGATTATTGACTGCTAAGCCCAGTCAGTATAGCAGAAATATTCTACATAGATCATTGGTTGGAATGCACAGTACAACAGTTATGAGCACACTGTCACAAGAGACACCTGCATGAATGCTAACAAGTGTAATAGATCCACCAAACCACATCGCAAGCATCTGCAATGAACCAGTCTGTGGAAGATGGGAAGTTACCAGAATACAGTTAAAGTACATGGGAAGCTCCTACAGTCACTTCTCTCCAGAGTCATAGCTCCTATTAGAGAGCCAGGAAACCTGAACCGCTGCTTGCCACCTGAAACTTTCTGTTTTACAGGGATTGGTGTCATGCTTTTATTTCCAGACCTGAGTCACTGTGGTTTTGCTTGGATGGGGGCAAGGAAGAGAAGGATACAGACTCCATCTAGCAGAGCTTACTTCCCCAGACCTGCATGGTCAAACAGCTTGAGATCAGAGGTCTTGCCTGTAAAAAGGCCACAAAATTTGAAAAGAGGAACAAAACAAAGCTAAAAAAACAAAACAGAAATAAAATGTTTTTATACAGCCTTCAATAAAGCTATAGTCAATGGTACAGTATTGTTCACATGACACTTATTAAGGCTTTGACTACCGGTCTTCTACATGCACATTTTATATACATATAATCTTGTGTGTGTGTGTGTGTATAAATTACTTTTTTGTTGTTGTTGTTCTAAGCAAGAAAATATTTTCATGCATTTGGTTCTCCTAGTATTCACAATACTAGGACCATATTCTATTCAAGGACTTCTGGAGAGGGCTGGGTCTATTTATTAGCCATCTGAAAATGCCCTCATGTCCAGGAATGTCGTTTGTGCCTGACAGTGGCACTGGCCCCACACTTCTCCGCAGTCATACACCAGAGAGGAGGTGTCACCCCGGAGCCTGACAGTACATTGGCTATGTAAACATAGTAATCCTTGGAATATAAATACATTATTAAAGCTAACATACCTCAGCTTTTAGCTCATAATTTGCCCATGAGTGCCTTAATGAAAGATCATTCAAAATAAAGTCTGTCTTTTTCTTCTGTCTTTTTTCTTCCTATATCAACAGCTCAATTACAGTGGTTCCCCCCAAAGCAGTTTTCCCTAGTTTTTCCCAAAGAAGTGCCAAGCTACCTGTTAATTCTGCAAGTCCATGGTTCAGTAGCTTCCATATACATAAATAACAGCAACACAGAGCATGTCTGAGCCTTATAGCTCAAAGTGCTTAAGTCACCATCTCACTTGTACCCCTGCCATGAACTTAAGAGACTGGCCAGTGAGGAAGCAGTAATCAGCAGAGCTCTTCCATTCCTAGTTCCATGCCTGGAGCTTGCACGTTTGACAGGTTCCCAGAGCTCACCAGAGCTGCCCTGTAGCATGGCCTCTGTCCCTCTATCTCAGGGACACCCTGACTATCTCTGGCCCAGCATTTCCTTTGGTGAGATCCTCTGGCTAGCTGATGCTGCAGAGCACTCCTAGGTTGCAGTGGGGTGCCCAGAGCAGCTCATCTGTGAGAAGGAAGGGCAGTGGTACTAAGGAAAGGAAGCAGTGTAAAGAACGCTGAGAAAGCAAACATGGGTGGAGTGAGGAGGAGAGATTCCTTATTTAAGATAAGGCCTGGACTGCTGCCACAGTCCTCTGAACTGCCTTGCCTGGTGGTGTAACTGGAGCATGCTATCAGTGCTCCAGTTATTAAGCTCTGCCATCATTACACAATCATGCCTTGCACCCCACCACAGCACTTCCCTGTCAGCCACCACCCTTCCCTTGGCCACTGCATCAAAGTACTTCCATTCAACATATACCATGACAATTACTGCAAATCAGACACGGGGCCCTTCTCCTTTAGCATGATCCAAGTAGCTAGCAGCCCTGAAGAGACTGCCCCTGTGCCTCTGCCTACCTTTCAACTCACAATAACCAAGATAATAAATACATGGGACAGAGGGAGTGATGAAGTCCCAGCCATCTGGTTGTTTACTTATTGCACAGAGTATTTTGGGCTGGTAGGGAAGAGTGGGTGGCTCCCAAGGTCCTTTGAGAAAATCCTACTGTATGGCTGTCCACATCATCTACTCCAGAAAATGTGTTCACACAGCTCATGTGTACAGGATGCTTAGGAAATTTCACCTAGAAACAGAATATGCAAGAGATGAAGGCTTTTCTCAATTCAACCCCAGTCTTCACACAGTCCCATGGCAAGCTGTGCAAAACACAATGTTTATGCCCTGGCAGGTATGATTAGAAGAAAATTTTTGGTCCTGGGTATGTTAACAAGAAAGGGTCATGCTAATAATTTCAGAGGCAAACCTTTGAGGCTGGATTTAGTTTTAGTTACAGAAAATACTGGACACTGCTTTTGGCCAGGTGCACAGAAGCTTTAAAAAAAAAAAAAAGACAAAGACCACAATTAAATGTCTCAATCTTCAGATGAGAATATATGTGAGGAGCAGTCAGACTACTTTCTCATGTGTAATGCATCCTGAAATTTGGTACTTATGTATTGGGCGTGAAAGCCTTTCTTGTTGATCGTGTCGTCTGTGTGGAATCGAATCATGATGGAATCCCCTGCAGAGTAGATTTCTTCCAGAGGCTGCAGAAAAGTAAAGACAGCACAAATTGGTCAAGTCTGTAGGCTAAATAACTACCCGCACTATGATGCTAGAATTTAAGCTCAGAGTGGCCAGGAAAAACAAACATTGAGCTCTGAGTACTTCCTGCCCTGCTCTGACTTTCTGAGCACGCTCTCTCTTGCTCTTTGCATGTTTTCCCTTATGTTTGAAGACTGATGCCAGCTCATTCTACAATCCCCATTCTTACAGTAGTTTTTTGTAGGTCATATTCACAGGACTCCCTGGATGTTCTTGTTCCAATCTTCTGAGTTTTCTCTAATTTGTCCTAATCTTTTCAGGAAATGACACAATCCAAACTGGACCCTGCTGGGCAGCTGATGCCCTACCAAGCTTCATTAGCAGCAAAATAACTCAGCCACATACTTTACATTGTAACTCTGGTTATCTCCTCCACTGTTGTGACATCCTACAATCTCCCTGTGCTTCTCTGAAGGACCAATGCTTTCCCAGACATTCTTTATTTGAATTTGTGTAGGTAGGTAGGTTACTACTCTGTTGCCCTGAACTTCTTCACACCAAGCTGCTATGCTTTTGTTTATTTTCCAGACCATTTCCCCAATTTGCAAGGACTTCTCTGACACACCTGCTCCTTGGATGTCTCTCTTTAAATTCAATAAGCACCTTCTCCATTTCATTGCTGAAATCCTAGAGAAATTAAACATAGAACCTCTGGTTTTAAATACCACACACTAGAGTCACTATGGGGACATAGATAACACTTTAGGAGACAGCATGCCACCATAGAGTTAACAATCAACTCTGCAAGTCCTTCCCACCCTTCACCCTCGCCATAGCATGGTCTCAATGTGACTTGACTTCAGGCAGTAAGTGACTGAGGATGAAACTGGCCTTTGGAATCTGTTTTCAACACTTTTGTGGCAGAGCTGGGCCACAGCAGCATGGCAGTCCCATGCTGCTGTCAGTGGCCATGGGCTAATAGGGGAAAGTCAGTCAGCAAAGTTTTCAGACCAACTTTGTGCATCAGATAAAATGACTGTGATCTCTAGCAACAGAAGCAGCAAAATCTGCCCCTTTCCAGAAAGGGTATGCAAGCACCCTTCTTTGGCACCCCCAGCTATGCCTATGAAATCACCACCAGCACAGCTTACCCCTGAGCCACAGAAACGTCCCAGGCGGGGTGCAGTGCTGTCGTAACCATCATAAATCTCCATGTAGTCATACCCACAGTCGGCCTCCTCCTCGATCTCAAATGTCTGGAATATCAGCTCCACCCCATAACCATCTTCAGCAACAATCACCCACTCACAGTTTTCTTGACCTGGGTAGTTGTTGTCCCCAAACTGAGCATGGGAATACAGCTCCTTAGTTCGTACTTCGGCCTTTAGGAGCCCACCACACTCTGGAGGAAGAAAAGAGCACAAAACACAGTCTCATCAAAGGCCCTACCTCTCAACAAAGACTCATCATCCCAATTTTGGGCCAGCTGTAGGGAGAGACCTCCAGCATGAAGTGCATGCACAACAGGGAAGGTAATTAAACCCTGAACCAAACTACCGTAAACCAGTGAATTCTCCAGTCACTCATAAATCCATTGACCCACACCATATAGAGAAGTTTGGTCCTTTTGGTACAGAACATGGAGGGAAAGAGATAGGGTTCCTGCCACATTATACTCTGAAAAAACAGAGCAGCAACTTAGAAGGAAGACTCATTCTTTGCATTTTTCCTGCAGTTGGAATTCTGACTCCAAGAATTTTACCAGCAGTAAGTTGAAGCACGTTAAAAAACTGGGGACCAAATTAATTCTTTTCTGCCCATGCACTGCACAAAGGTAGCCCTGTGCTTGTGCAAAATGTGTCTGCTTTGGTGCAGTTTCCCTGCAGCCAGCCAGTCAGGAAGATGCCTCCTTACCAGTCTCTCATGCCCTGCTGCTCAGAGCATATTTCATCTGTTTACAGTGGCAGAGATTTAAAAAAAGTGAACCTTGCTACAACACCCCCACCTCTGGGCTGCCACAGATAGAAGATCAAGCTTGCTGTGTCTGTCCACAGCACATCTCTGCTTCCACCATAACCAGCCTGTTCCATGTGTGGGCCAATACATGGGCTAAATTTCATCACCTCATTTTCTGAGGGTGGATTAGGAACAGAATGGGTTGCTGCTCAACCAAAGACCTTCAATTTAAACGAAAGAACTGAGCAGGAATGTCTGATATCAAGAATCCTCTGAGCTGATAAGGAATCTGGCATTTATGGTATGGTGTCAATAATCATCTGGGAACTGGTTAGCACAATTTACAACCACTTAAAATTTAAGCTAGGCTTATTTGGGAGAAAAGTGAGTCTTGTTTTGCCTGGTAAACAACACAGTGAGATCTGATGACATCTTATTGCACTAGGGTATTGGCAGGCAACCAGCTCACCTGTGCTGTGCTTTGCCTGGAAACCTTTTCTTTGCACAGAAGCATCGGAGTAAAACCTGAGGAACATCTTGTTGGTAGAAGCCACTACAGGGTCTGGTTTCTTGCTGCCACAGAAGCGGCCAAGGATAGGTGACTTGCTATTGGGCCCATCATACATTTCCAAGTGGTCATAGGCACATTCTTGGTGCTGTTCAATCTCAAACTCATTGAAGGTCTATAGCAAGAAAAAGGAGAATTATGATAGACATTTATAAATCTTAATACACAGTTTAGGACAGGATGAAATACCAAGTGAGAAACAGGTCAAATGGTATGCCTGTCCCACTCATCCCACAAACTAGAGAAGAATAGTGCAGTTTTGGATAATTGTATCTCAGGGTGGCAAAGCTCAGAAGTTCATATGAATGTGCCACATAGCCTTAGCTTTGCTGCCTCACATGAGTGTATGACAACAGTTTTCAATTGCAAGCCTTATCTACTCTTATTTTTCTGCTCGGAACTGAGTGGGCAGTTCTTCAATACTACTTCCACTGAGCACAGGGATCCAGGCATTATTTCTTCCAGCGAATGGGCCATCTGCACAGCTTTGTGCATGTCCTGCCATCTCCATCAGGTCACACTGTAAAATAGGCCTGACACTTCTCCCTCAGCAGGGCTGGGGACTGGCCCTGCCATCACCTTATGCAGAGATGGTCCCAGCAGAGTGGGTCACAAGGAGGGGTAGGGGCAGGAGGGCATGTGACACCTTCTGTTAAAAGAGTGCACAATGCTCCACAGTTGTCACCCTGCTGGAGTCTCCTCCAAGCTGCCTCTCCCCTGCCTCACATCCCTCTGAGACCTTCTGCCCTTTTGCAGGCAAGGGGCAGCCTCCTGGGATGTCCTCCTCTGAACACCCCACACAGGACCTATGCGGATCAACCTCCCACTCACACAGTAGCAGGGGAAAGTCACTTCAGTTCCTCACAATCCAGCCTGCCTCTCCCCTCGTGCTCCCACTCGTTGGTTACTCACTACTTTCACACGGTGACCAGGTGTTGTAGAGATGTCCCAGGTGCACTCTTTCCGACTGGGGTACTTGTCAGGCCAGTTTGGACTGCTCACCGTTCCTTCTGCACCACTCAGCTTGTGCTCGCAACCAGCTTGAGAGAGAGATCACAAGATAGAGGCATCAGGGCAGGTCTCACATGGGAACCATGTAATAACCTATATGTTCCTCTCTGCCCACTGAGACCCTCAACAAGGCAGAAACAGTAAAGGCTTCATTCACTAAACAAGACCTTTTAATGTTACTGAATATTTCTGATAGGTTTGTGCTCCACTTTTTTGAGCTAACTTGGCAGCTGGTGAAATGGACCATCTCACTCCCCTAGGCCTTGTTAAGCTCAGAATCACAGAATCATGCAGTTTGGAAAAGACCCTTGGGTCATCGAGTCCAACCATCAGCCCTACTCTACAAAAGTTCTCCCCTATACCGTATTGCCCAGCATCTCATCCAAACGACCCTTAAACACATCCAGGGATGGTGACTCCACCACCTCCGTGGACAGCCTATTCCACTCTCTGACTGCTCTTTCTGTGGAAAATTTTTTCCTAATGTCCAGTCTAAACCTCTGTTACAGTTTAAAGCCATTCCCTCTTGTTCTATCGCTAATTATATGTGAGAAGAGACAGCAGCAACGTCTCTACAATGTCCTTTCAAGTAGTTGTAAAGAGTGATGAGGTCTCCCTCAGCCTTCTCTTCCTCAAACTAAAGTCCTATCTCCTTCAGTTGCTCCTCACAGGGTTTATTCTCCAGGCCCTTCACCAGCTTCACTGCCCTCCTCTGCACCCGCTCCAGCACCTCAATATCTCTCTCGTATTGAGGTGCCCAAAACTGGACACAATACTCCAGGTGTGGCCTCACCAGTGCAGAGTACAGGGGCACTATCACCTCCCTACTTCCACTGGTGACACTATTTCTAAGACAAGCCAGGATGCTGTTGGCTTTCTTGGCCACCTGGGCACACTGCTGGCTCATGTTCAGCTGCTTGTTAATTAGAACCCCTAGATCTCTTTCTTCCAGACAGCTCTCCAGCCACACCTCTCCAAGCCTCATCCACCTCCTCACTCCCAAACATTCTCCTGCTCCTCCATCTCATCTGCCCTATTCCCAGTGACACGGTGTCTAACGCCTCCACCATGTTGACTCTGGTGCTGTCTCAGCCTTGAGTTGTTTTGCCAACTTGGAAAGCTAAATCAGCTTATGGAAAGATCAGACAAGGACCAGAGACCATACGCAGGAAGGGCCATAGCCGCACACAGCAGTGGTAGGGCTGCAGGAAGAAAGGTAACTTTGGCAGCAGTGATCGGTTAGATCAGCTTATCCTTTCTCTTCTGACTCAAATCCAATAATTAAATGAAGCAGCAGTGACTAGTCTAATGGTCATGTTCCACAGCTGCTGCTTTTGCTGGCCCCACTTCTTTCCCCCACCCTGTTCATCCCCTGTGGCCATACAGAGGACCAGACTGGGGAATGGATCCAGCTGAAAACAAGCTAGGGATTTTTTCCGTGTTCCAGTCTGGTACACTGTACAAACACCCTTCCAGCACTGGGCAGGAAGCACCCTGGCCCAAACTGTGTTTGAAGCACCTTGTCTTTCCTGAGGGTAGGGAGCAGTGACCTTACCTTCTTTACAATCGTGGCCATTTTCATGCAGCATGAAGCCATTTCTGCACTGGCATGTGTAGCTTCCAAAGGTGTTGATACATTCGTGCTGGCAACCACCATTGTCTTTGGAGCATTCATCCTTGTCTGGGCAAGATCAAACCGACAAACACTGAGTTGACAGTAAGGGAACAGACTATCACAGTCACCAGCTAGGAGTCCCATATCCAGACTGGCAGATACTAGTGCAAACCTCCAACCTCTTCTCTTGGATTAGTCCAGTCAACTTTTTATTCCAGATACAATTATCTTCAATTGTCTTTCATTCCATAAAATGCATCACAACTATGGTTTATTATATAATGCAGGTTTTGAATAGTTAAAGACTCGTATTCTAAAAGAAACCTATAGCATTGTCTCATTTTTTTTAGAATAGAGTCTAGGAAAAGTATCATACAAATTCACTAGCCTAAGCAAAAAGATACTGGCCAGTCTTTATATTTTCAAGCTTCTACATGCTCTGATGAGCCTCCACATCTTTAAATAGCTCTCTCCTAGAACACAAGCAGCCACACAGAGAAGAGAATCTAAGGTACGAGCTGCCCCCTGAAGCTGAAATATGCCCCAGTGGATGTTCACTCCTGTATGTTTAGGACTATGCATTCCTGAATCTCACTTTGCTGAGCATAGGATCTGCTCATGGTTTCCAGTCTGATTTAATTTATTAGCAGTTTGTCTCCAATTCTTCTTGGCCCAATGCCCTCCCTGGACCCCATTAACCTCAACCATCTCCTCACTCACAAATGTATTTCTAGATGAAACATACCCCTCCTCATCCTTCCTCTTGCTAGATTTAATAAATCAAGCCCCTAGATCTGAATCTACTCTGCAATTGTCTTGATTCAAGGCCATTTTGCCTGATCATCCTCCTTAAAAACATTAATACTCTTCGGTCTCTGCTGAAAACACAGCATGAAATTTAATTTCTATTTCCATATGATGTACAATTAACCTCCAGAACTCTCTGCCAACAAAGTACATCACTGACACCAAGAGCTACAAAGGATTCAGAACAGAGGTTTAGAAACTCCTCCTAGGATGCACTGCTTTGATGGGAAGGATTGTTATATAGAAGACTTCTGGAAATTTTCTAACTCTTCTTGTTTTAGAAGAAAAAGCTTATCTTTAATGACTCCAGGGACAGGAATAATTTCTAGGATTGGGTTCCCCATTGCTTACTGCTGTGGAAGGGCTGGAGCCATTAATGAAATCCATGCATCTTGCTGATGCCACACTATGAAACTGGACCATATACTGCACTGAAAAACCAAGGTGAAAGGTGACACAGCATAGAGCAACCATGCTCTTCAGATGTAACTAACTGTGTCAGGTTCTGCCTGATTTGACAGGAGGTTGAAGAAAATTCACCAAAACAAGAGGTTCCGCCAGACGAGACAGCTAAGCAAGTGAAAGAATAGAGCCACCTACCAGAGAAGTAGTGAACTTTAAAGCCTTTCTTGGAGACTGTGTTGTCTGATTTGAACTCCAGTCTCATGTTGTTACCATATGATGTGATTACTTCAGGCTTCTCTGAGCCACAGAATTTGCCATGCAGCTTGGAGTCAGAAGCTAACCCACTATGAACCTCAACATAGTCGTATTTACAGACCTGTCAAGAGAGAAGGACATTTCTTAGCTCCGTGGACTTGGAACAGAGCATTTCATTGGAAGGGGACAGAGGCTTGACTGAGAGGGAACAGAAACAGCCTTATACTCACACTCCTAACTTCTTCAAATTCTCCTCTGTTAGTCTTCTCATCCCCTTCCTTTGCTGACCAGGTCTTAAAGCATAGGTGTGTTTATCAGAACAGCAAAGGTTCCATTTAATTTAGCTAAAATAATTACTCCCATATTATCCAAGAAACTGACAGTATTGAATGAATGTCCTAGTTTCAGCTGGGATAGAGTTAATTTTTCTTCTTAGTATCTAGAATAGTGCTGTGTTTTGGATTCAGTATGGGATTTGGTATGAAAAGAAAGTTGATCATACATATGCTGATGTTTTCAGTTTTTGCTAATAGATCACGGACTCTCCAACTTCCCATGTCCTGCCTGTGTGTACCAGAAGCTGGGAGGAAGCACAGCCAGAGCACCAGACCCAAATTAGCTAATGATATATTCCATATAATGTAATGTCATGCTCAGTATACAAAGGAGGGGCAGCTGGGAAGAAGAGGGTTCTTTCTCATTTCTGGGATTGCAATTGTGGGATCTTGGTATTTTGAGATCACTAGCTGGGAATGGTCTGGGCATCAGTCGGCGTGTAGTGAGCAATCACGTTGTGCATCACTCATCTGTTGTTTCTATTATTGTTATAGTTTTATTTTATTACAATTATTAAACTGTTTCTTTCTCTATGTGTGAGTCTCCCTTTACCTCTCCAATTTCTCTCCTATCCCCTGGGCATGGAGTGAGTAAGAGAGCAGCTGCATGATGTTTGGCTGCCAGCCACGTTTAAACCACAACTAACTTCAGCAGCCTGCTGAATTAAGGAAGAGCCACTGCTCCCATTTACAGTGGGGAAAGCAAGACCTGAATGCTTTGTTCAACTCCATCCTGCCCTTCGCAGGGCAGAGAACAAACTCTTACTGGTTATTTTGTTTATCCTTGAAGAAATCTGTTTCATTTTTCATTTCCAATTATTCTCCTGCAAGGGCAGCTCAGGGGAAGAGGGGAGATGAGACACCCATTAGGGATGGAAAACACCTACAATTATGCAAAACTAGTAGAGAAAAGAAGCCCATTGATAACAGAACAGCTTTAATCCTTCCATTCCATACAGAAAGCAGATCCAGACTTCAAGGAGAACAATTACTGTTATTGGCTTATTATATCAAGGGTGGGGAAAAAAAACAGAAGCTCCACCAGTAAGACAGAGTCTCCTCTTCCTTGTACCCCAAGGATTTATTCAGTTCTGAGTTAGCCAGTAGTCACACCTCTGAGATGCAGGGACCGGTTACGTACATCATTGCCTTCCAGCTCAAACACTTCGAACTGCAGAGAGATCCGGTACTGGGCTGGAGCTACCACCTGCCAGACGCAGTTTTTGTTAGTAGGATATTCCTTGGGCCATCCAGGGCTAGTAATGGTCCCATTGAGCTTGGTGATGAAGCCCCCACAGGCAGCTGGAGAGGCAATAAATGAACACAAGTTTTACTTGGTTCTGTTCAGACACACAAACTGGGCCACATTGTTAGCTTAGGAAATTAATCGGATCCTGGTTGGTGGCATATTTTAAATCCTGGTCTCCAGAACAGGTTTAAAATGTTGGGAGCTGCAAAGAAGACAGAAACCTCACCTGCTGTAAATCACCAGTGAAACACACACTGCCAGGCTATGGTCCCGGGAGTCACTTAGACCATGTAAGATTGATCTTTTTGCTGTAGCCTTGTGCTTACTATGGATCAGTTGACTTGACATGCACAATACAGTTGTAAAAGTCAACTTGGTAAATTCACCCACATTCAGTCCTACAAACCTTACTATTTCAAGTTTATCAGTAATGGAATAATTAGAAGATTATGCAATCTTAGGGAAGACACCCCTGTCAACTCTTCAGTGGCTTAGTATATGTGTACTGCATCTTCTTGAGGGAAAACTGAAAACAAAGCCAAAGACTTAGCTTTATTATCCTGTTTCTTTTAAAAATTGAGGACATCTTAGCTTCACCCTCTTGTTGGAGGGTATGGATTTTACCTCAAAGGAATTAACCTCAGTTTATTCCTTTGCTGCAAAATTCTATTTGCAATCAAGCAATTTTTTCTTGCTGTTTCTTGGGAGTGATCAGATGCAGCCAGATCTTCAAAACCCACAGGGATAAAAGCTTCCTGTGTTTTGTTCCCAGTGTCATTTTGCATTAAGAGAACTAACTCAAGGGAGCAGCTTCAATCCAAAAAGTGTAGCAAGCGTCTGCAGAACCAAAAGCAATTTACTCTGATGTGCATCACTACAATATCAAAGACTATCCTTCCTGTATTGCCCACAAATGAAGTTTAAACTAAGAGGTTGAGTGCTCAACAAACACTTGCCAAAGCTTGCTCAAAATTGCAAGAAATTATTAAATAAAAGTAAAACTTCCAAAAACCTTTTGCATGCACTTAACTCTGCCCTCATCAAGTCAACAGCAGCCTTCCCCAAACAGTCTGACAAAAGTAGAAGTCAGGGCAAACCAGGTGACATTGAGAGCACCACTCACATCGTGTGGAGCTCCCTACACAAGAACAAGGTATAGATTCCCACCACACCAACAGCTGTATTGTTGGTGGGAGCAAACACTTGTTGCAAGAGATTAACTGTATAAATAGAAAGTGAACAGAAACAGTTTCTATCGAAGATGTGGGTTTTTACCCCCCATAACAGAAGGGAAGTTACTCCTCAGTATGGAGCATGTCTGTTTTGCGCAGATGCAAAACATTTATATTTTATTCTACAAAAGAAATTTATTTAAAAAAAAAATTAATTCAGTCTTAGATTGAAATACTTCTGGGCCACTCAGTGGTTAGGTTTTAATACCCACCCTCCTTATGCTGCACTGTGGGAGATCTGGTCTGAACAGGGATCTCTGGCAATGAAGAACAACTGGTTTTAGAGATGTTTAGCAGTGGAGAATCAGAATATTTTCAATATTTCAACCAAGAAGACACTGACAAAAGTAAGTTTTTCAGTGGGAGACAGTAAACAGAAACAAAGAGGATGTAGGGGCAAGGAAAACAATCTCCAGGATGGTTCAATTTCATTATTAGCCATAGTACCCATCCTACAGACAGATGGCTCAATCTGTAGGTTACTCACCTTCACAGCTTTTTTTATCAGCTGTCAGCTCATAGCCAGGCTCGCAGGTGCATTTGTAACTGCCCAGTGTGTTCTCACAGTGCTGCTCACACCCACCATTGTCTGGCAGAGAACATTCATCCATCTCTGTCAGGAGAAAACCAGAACAAGTCACACTTTCCTGACCACACAAACCCCATCATATTCCTCATGCAACATGTCTGGACAGAAAGACCAGAGCACCACCTGATGAGCTGAGCCCACAGAGCAGGCACCTAACAAGTGATAAAGCAATCCTACCACCAAAACCATAAAGGACTACAATTACTGTTACTAGTCAAGAGTGCTTTTTCTGAACAGGAGCAGGAAAACAGAGTCTCCTGTAAAGAATTCACTGCCTTTTGTTCTCATTTGCCCCTGTTTTTTTGTTTTGATTTTAAATTCCTTGTGCTCTTCAGTGACTTGAACTACCAGGAACCAGCCCACTATGGTACCCACAGCAATCAAGCTGCAGGATGCCACACCCCACTGAACCGGGTGCAGAAAGGGAGCTGGGAGGACATGCAAGTAGTTTTTTCTTTTCACAGACACATGAAGTCTTGCTACCCTAGACTTTGAAGTCAGGTTCTTCCACTCACATCTCAACAACCTGAACTGACATTTTAATATACAGATAGCCAGAGGTACTGGTTTCTCACTCTGACCCCTGATTATATGTGCACCCCTTAATAGATGGTTTTATTAACATGGTTGCAGTGGGTTGGCCTCAGCTAGTAGCCAAACACCCACCCAGCTGTTTGCTCACTCCCCAGCTCACCACTCCAGTGGAATGGGGGGAAAAACAGGAGCAAGGAGGCTCCTGGGTTAAGACAAGGAAATTACCCACCAGTTACTGTTGTAGGCAAAACAGACTCCACTTTGGGGAATTTAACTTAATTTACTGCCAATTAATATAAATATTGGAATACTGATTCTGCTATTGGGAAAAAGAAACCCAACTGGAAAAAAACCCACCACTTCAGGAAAACACCTTTCTGTCCCCTTTCCCAGGCTCAACTTCACTCCAGACTCCTCTCCCCCTGCCTTGTATCAGTGCAGCTTACACTCAGTCCCTTCAGCAAAATCACAAGTGTGCAATGGCAGATGATGGGGAGCTACAGTCAGTACATGACTCTGCTGCTCCTTCCTTCTCATACTCCCCCCCTGCTCCAGCATGGGTCCTCCACAATTTGCAGGGAATATCTGCTCTGCCAGGAAGCATCTCTACATTCTCCTCTGACCTCGATGATACCTCAGCTGTTTCATAGTTTTTGTTCCCTTCTCCTCTCCTTCTCCATCATTTTTGACCTTTCTTAAACACATTTTCACAGAGGTGCCACCAGCTCAACTAATGGGATCAGCTGTGTCCTGCAGCGGGTCCACTGAGGAGCCAGTTTGAACCATCTGTCTGTCATGGGGCAGCCCCTGCTGCCTCCCACTGCCAAGATCTTGACATCTACACCAAATATAATGTTCCAGTAACAGTTAGTGTTACGTAGCTCACATAGGAACAGTCTTAACTAGATGATCACTGTAGGTTCCTTCCAACTGAAATATTCTGTTCTCTTCTATTGATAACACTGTCTTCCTGCAAAGCCCTCCCACAGTTAGGAACCCCCAACTGCAGTAGTTTCAGTCCAAACTTTTATTTTCTGGTTTCTGTTTGTGGATCCACTATGAAGATAGTAGAGTATTTCTTTGCTGGTCCATGCTTGGGTACAGGTTGAATAGCTTCTAATCTAGCTGTTAAATCACTTGCTTGAGAGAAGAGAGAAGCTACAACTCCTGAAAATCAACCACCCCCCCTGTGATCAGTCTTTACCACAGAAGGACATGTCCTGGCTACGAGCAGGTATATTTTGTGAAGTATTGTCTTTCCTCTAATGCTCGCCATGAGGAAGGAAGGCACAACAATGTAAGACAAGCACATCACTACTAACACTTCAACCATATACAAAACAGGCTCCAGTGATACAAACAATTTGTTACAAAAAAGAAGATAAGTAATAAAGAATAATCCTAGAGTTTTCTCTTGAGATATACCTGGTGGGATGGACATGAGGTAATTGCTTTTCATATTCTGCTGACATTGTCTCTTGGATGTGACCAATGGCTTACCCTCTCTGAGCTTACTCAATCTTAGCTGTTTGCAGGTTTTTCTCTGACAAGTTAGATGTTACCATGCAAGTTCTCACAAAGCATAACATCCAATTCCATTCTTAATTCTGCTTGGGTTTTTTTTAAGCCGAGTTATTTTCTTTCAGTGTTGTAAGATGCATAATTGAAGCTCTATTCCTGTCATAATTCATTAAGGCAAAACTCAATTAGCTATGGGTAGCAGCCTGAAGAGTGCATGCAGAGCCATTTAATTTGTTCATTTATTTTGTTCAGGGAGTGGCTGGTATGGATATGGAGGTACAGGCTGCAGACTTCAGATCCCAGCTTGAAACTCCACATGTTGCCTGTTACCCAGCTTTTGCAAACTGACATAAACTCTGTCCATAATGCAAGCTAGCTAGAAGTTGTGTATCTATGACTACTGTGGTTCTTGGTCCAAGCAAATACATTCTGCTCCTCAGACGGACTCACTGGAATAGATTTAGCAGCACACTAAACATGCATGAGTCACATGGTTTCTGGTTCAAACATCTGAAGTCCAAGCAGACACGGAGAGATGTAGTCTGCCAACAAAAACTTCACAGACAATACCTGTGTCTGCAATTGTACTAATTAATTAATGTTTATTATTATTTTTTTTTACAGGAAAAAATATATTATTTCTAACTATCTGTATCATAAGAAAAATATCCCAGGTTCAGTGTGTAACTTTTTTCCCTACAAACTTGCAGGTGAACCTCAGATTCTAGAGAATGACTTGCTGCAAGCCAAGAAGTCTCCATGTAGTGCCAATCCCTGGAAGACATCTCTGCAGCAGTTAGTCTGCACTGTTGGCTCCTGCAAGAAGCCAAAAAGACTTTAGGAAGAAGTATTCTCTGTGTCTTTATGGAACCTGAGAAATTTAAACAAGGAAGTCTAGGCACTGTGAGAGTTTTTCAGGGACTGGAATTAAACATCACAGTATTTGCCAGTTATTTTGCAATAACTCTTTGTCATGGTCCATTAGGATCTCTCAGATCTATGGGACAATGTACTCTCTGAATTAAGCTTTATTTAAATATTTTTTTTTGGCACATAAGTACACAGATTAAGAATTATGTGTTATAAATTGTGAAACCTGATAACCTGAATGGTGAATAAGTGAATTCATGTGATAGACTAGTCTGAGCAAAGGGGATTGAGCCCTGACATGTTTGTTGTATTTCTTAATAAGCTCATAAAGTTTAATTCACAGAGTACATTGTCCTGTAAATTTGAGAGATCTAAATGGACCATAACACCCTTTAACACAAGACAAAAGTTAAATTAGACATAAGTAAAAGAATTATGCAATCCAAATATTGACATTGTAGCTATTATTTCTGTACAACTGTCACTGAACCTATGAGAAACATGACTATCCACCTTGCAGCAGCTCCACAGGTATTTTCCCAAATAGACATTTGGTTCTTGCCTCCATCAAGTCACCAGGATGCTGGTGGCCATGTCTTGGGTCCAGTTCTTAAGAAAAATCTTAGTCTCTTATTTGCATCCTCCTGAAGAGGATCTCTGTTTAGGAACACATTTGTCTCCTAAAGCACTCAGAAATTTTCCCTGGGATTCTACTTGCAATCAAATTTACCCACTCTCCAGAGGTTTCTTTTGGAATAGAACTTAAGTAGAGAGATTTTTAACACTTTGTGCAGTACTAGCACCTTCTTTGAAAATGCCAGTGTCCCCTAGCATGGACAAAGGGAGGTCACATTCTGTCCAGCTGTGCAACACAAGGCGTTAGTGCCTGTGCTGGTACTGACCCAATAGGCTTGCTTTCTGTCTTAATCAGGGAGGCAGTGTTCATGCCTAAGCATCAAACCCCTTTATACTCTCAAAGCAATTTGAATAGAAACTTGATATTGGTGGTTGTACAGACAACTCTAATAGCTCTTAACTACAAGTAGATACAATGGTAGCTGATCACTTTGGGATAGCAGTAGGTGAAGGGATGAACAGTCTCCAACTTTGACATTGAGAGGTACTAGATCACATACCTTTAAAGAAATTTGCTGCAAAGCCTGCTTTATTGATGGTTGCATCAGACGCAAACTTCATCCATACTTTATTTGAAGTAGATTTGATATCTTCTGGCTTCTCGTAGCCACAGAAATGACCGATCAGTGGGCTGTATTCAGTGAGGCCGTCTCGGATCTCCAGGTAGTCATAAGAACAGGTGTCATGCCATTCAACCTGCAATGGGAAAAGAGTATGCCTGCAGCTCACTAGTATGACTGCTCTGAGCCAGATGAGTTATCCAGTTAGACTTTGGCCAGAGATCAGCTTCCAAAGGAGCATCTCAAACAACCAGTCACAACTAGGTACTTGCCTCATGGCTGCCATCAAACAGTCATGCAATTGAAATTGCATTCAAGCCCAACCATGTCTTAGTTCTACTGCTATTTCATGGCTATCCTTCAGTGAAACATAGTCTCTGAGTATTTACAAGCTGCTTTTCCATGAGAAACTATAAGGAAAAGAGCAGAAAAACTACAAACAAAAAAGTTCAAGGAACAGATGTGGGGTCAAAGCTAGGAGGTAGCAGCGTCAGCCCATTCCAGGACAAGCACAATAAGTGTGCACAAGCCACAGGAAAAAAAAATGGGCTAGATGGGATTTATGCACCAACTCAGGTTCTGTCCACTCCTGTCCGTGACTTATAGATCAGTAGTCAGAAACAGATCATTAGGCATCTAACTAAGAGTGTAAGACACCCTATAACCAGTAGGAGAAAACCTTTTCTGAGCTCTTCAAAGCCTGTCTGCCATCTGGGAATATGGTGTTTCCTTGGAGAGTCACAAATGTCCTGCAACCTGCCAAGGCACAGTGACACCAGCAGGTGTTTTTTTGCCTGGATTGTGACCATTCAATTTCATTTGACCAGAGTGAAAATTTAAGGACTCGTGAGGCCCTATTTAATATCATCACCAACTCTGTGTCCCTTCCAATTCCTTCTGTCTAGAGTAACAGTTTTTCAGAACTCATCCTATTTAAAACTTCACTTCAAAATCTCTGAGAAAACTTCTGGTGAGGAGAAAGGATGTTCTCAAGTATTAAAAAGATTTTTTTTTTTTAATTAGCATTTACATCACTCTCTTCTTAATTTTAAAGGATCTACATAGGCAAAATAATATATATAGTATATACTATAAAGTATATAGTATATAATATACTATATTTGTATTAAAGTATATAAAATAGTAATAATGAAATATAAAATGACATTTCTCACCTCAAATGCTTGGAATGTGATTCCTATGTGAAAGCCCTCAGAAACTGTTATCTTCCAGATGCACTCTTTGGAAGGTCTGTAGTCATCTGGGTAATTGGGAGATTGGATCTGGCCAGCATCTTTGTGAATTTCTCCACCACAAATAGCTTCATAAAAAAACCCAGCAAAACTATGAGATTGAAGGTTTTTCCTTAGGTAAAGCCTGCTCCATACATAGCCTTATCTGTATCAATACCATTTGTTACACAAAGGCAACTACAAGTCAAGGAAGTTTTCACTTATCTAACATTCTGTCTTAGTGACAGTCTCCTGTTTTGCTGTGCTAACCTCCTTACAAGATGAACTCACTGGGATAGAGAACATTTATGGATTTGTGTGTTTCACACTCCTGGTCACCTTCATAACTGCTTAAAACCTGTCACCAGTGCCAAGGACCAAGAAAAGTTGAGGAAAAGAACCCAAACACCAACCAACCAACCAACCAGTTGCAGATCTAATCCAGCCACACGATGGCAATATTAACAAGCATGAGTTGAGCTGTTCACCAGGAGACCATCAGGCTGACTGCTGTGCATGAAAAATTAAGCTTTGTGCTAAATGTAAGAATGAATAACTTAAGGATCAAAAACAGAAAATTTAATTATTCTAGTTTAATACAAAACTAGCAGAGACCTCAAAGACAACAGCAGTTCACCATAATTGTCTGAAAGACTATGCAACAAATTAAAGTAAAATCACAGGCTAAAACCAATGTTACCCCATGATACATGACACATATGTCTAAAGAATATTTTGGCTGTGTTTAAAGTCAAACAGACAAAAAGCACTGATAGTAAGTACAAGAGAGATGGCACTGCAATGACACCTGCCAGACATCAACCATCTTCACCCTTGGGGTCTCCCCAAAACACACTGCATTAGCAATTCAGATGCAGGTTTCCCTATAGAGTCTTGGAAATTGCTTGCATTGGGTAACATTGTCTTGGTGTGCACTGTAAGCTGCTAAGCTTAACCTTGACCTAGTTAAATGCACCGCTTCACTACTGCAGTGCTAACTTCTTTCTTAAGAGAATCAGTGCTAAGGCACCACCAAATAGTTGCACTCTAAATTCAGCTGCAGAGCATAATTTAGGCTGTAGTTTGAGTTCATGCACTCAGAGCTACAAGTGGGTCTAGAGAGAACCTCTGAGGTACACTTCATAGAACTGTCTTCCCCACCTAATAGAAAGAGGACTACAAGAGCAGTTGTATTTCCAGCAGATGTCTGGGAATAGTCTCCCACAAGAACAAAGGCAAGTGATTGTGAGATTTCTCCTAAATGCCTACAGATTATCTCATCCACCTCTCTGTCCTGGGTGGGTGGCCTGTAGTAGACTCCTACTACAACATCTGGCCCGCTGCCCTTCCCTCTGATTCTAAATCAAAGACGCCCCACCCTGTCTTCACGACACTTGTACTCAAAGCAATCATAACAGTCCCTAACATACAGCACCACCCCACACCTCTCCTTCCTTGTCTATCCCTTCAAAAGAGCTTATAGCCATTAATTGTACCACTCCAGTCGTGGGAGGCATCCCACCATTTGTGTATGTGTGCCATTTCCCTAAATAAAGGAACTTATTTAAACAAAGTTATCGGTTACATTAAGGAGATGCTGACAGGTTTGGGGTTTTTTTTTTTAACAGCCATAAAACTGTCAGTCAGCAAACAGTATTTTCTCTATCCACTGCAGTAGTTCACGCTGAAATTCAGCTGAGCGAGCTTCACTGCAAAATGGAAAGAACATCTGCTGATAGAGCCTGAGAAGGCAATAATGATGAGAAATTTGGGGCTGCCAGTAGTACTGTAGGGCAAAACCACCAGCAGCTTCCCATCTTGAATCTCACGGAAGAAAAGGAATATGACTGAATCATGAGGAAACTTTCACCACATTAACTCATTTAGTATCAAGTAATTCTCCCATCACATGATTACGTGCTTCTGCGTCTTTCCTCTCATCTACTGAAAACTTTAGGGTCAAGATCTGAAGGAATCCAAATACAAAAATCCGTCCTCATTCACTGAACTCCCAGCAAAGTTCAGATGCATGAGCATTTACATGTGTCTCACTAAAGCAGAGGACAGAGAAGCAGAGCTAAAACCCACTTTGACTTTTTAGTATGTGACAGATAAGAGTTCAAAAGAGGAACTACCAGCAAGACAGAGAGCTTTTGGACAAAAATTGATAGAAAATCAAACATTTAAGGGCAATCCCTCCTGGAAACAAAAATTACCCTTATTACCTAGACACAGAAGTCACAGAACAGCTGAGTAAGCTACCTGACAATTGGAAGAAAGAAACATGCCAGAACCAGAGCTTGCATGAGAGAGAAATAAGGATTAAGGAAGATTTTTGGAAACTCTCCCATTTCAGCAAATAAATTATGGAGACAGATGCAGATAATCTCACTACCTGCTGCTCTGACAAGAGGAGGCTGAGCTAAGAAAAGAACTACGCAAAGGGCCATCACTTTTTCTGTGGCACAAGCTGGCTTCCATCAATCACATTCTGTGCTTGCTCTCAGGCTTAGTCACTTTCCAAATGGAAGTTTCTTGCAGGAAAGGGTTAAATAAAAAGACAGAGTCTTGAAGAAGCAGGCAAATAGTAACAGTCAGAAGGATGCAAAGTTTGACCACTAGATGCACATTCCACTTTCATCTGCTCTCCTCAAAAGTCAAGTGAAATAAGTATTGCTCATGTTTACTGAACCTTTAGGGTCATTTATTAATCAACAGGAAAAATGGAAAATTATCAAGAGAAAAGAAAGTTTTGCAAAGTGACTTTGGCAAGTAGCCAATGCAAAAAATATTTTTCTTTCAGTATCATTTAGCAATATGAAGCATGACACCATATTAACATGCATAATGAAGAACAGAGAAGTTGCTTCCTCAAAACATGCCTTGCTTTTTTCTTCTTTTTTTTTAAAGTTGGACCAGATATCACTGGTGAATAACCCATTGTAAGAATTAAGCTGACTAGCCCTCCAAAGCAATAAGCCAAAATAAAACAGTCTATTAGAGACACAGTGGTTTGATCACTTCTAATTCCAACAAACTACCATAAAAAGGGTGTTACTAACCACATGGTCCAGGCAACAGCTGCTTCTCAGGAGAGATGTGGAGAAAAAAAAAAAAAAAAAAACAAGCAGCAAAAAAATCAGGCAAGCTACCTCTGGCTCTGGGGCAACAATTCCTGCAGAAACCAGATATTTCTCCCATAAAACAGATTTGTTAGCCCCACACTGTTGTGAAATCCTCATATGCTTTATTTGCACTTCCCCAACAGTCCTGTGCTTTCTTCACTTCCCTCTGTTAGTATCATTTATATGAGTATATTAGAGACTTGGGCACTGGGCTTCCAGTATCATGCTTGTTCCTGTGGCTGCAGAAAGATGATATAATGTCAGTACCAACACAGTCAACTTTAGTACTGTTGACAACACTGGTACTTCTAAGAAGATGCCTGCTGCCCAGAGAACGATGAAGGCTTTTAATATATTTTAGAATCATTATTGTAAGAAATAAACATATATGGAGAATGGGTGTTACTGATTTGTTAGTGACTTTGGTAGTATGGCTCCTCCTCTGAAGTGGTTTCAGCATCTCAGTGCCATGCAAGTCTTCACAGTACCCGATCTGCAGAAGACCTGATGTGCTAATTTCTAACCTTCTCCAAGTAAAACATACCAGGAAGAAACCACAGAAGAGCCTTTACATTTGAGAAAAAAACCAAAACCAACAAACCAAACAACAAACCTCCAAAATAAGCTGCATTAAGTGATATAAAATGTATGATCAAAAAAAACCTTTTCCTGTTCAATTACTGAAAGGAACTCCTGTTATACACAGCGCTGCTGCTTTAAGGAGCTAGTTAGGGCAAACAGAACCTGGCCTATGAATGGAAGCTATTGCTCTGTGCTGCCATCCTGTTGTCCCCCCCCCAAAAATGTGATGATCTAGTTGGAAGATCCATGCCTTGTCTGCTGAAATAGCCTGCAAAATCTGCCAATTCCCATAAACAGAAGAGCGGGGGCTGTATCTAACCACACAGTGAAGTGGAACTCCTGCTGATCCCATAAACTCCTGCATCCTGTTCTAGCTGCTCCTTGCAATCAACAGACTTCTAGCTAGGGGCTGTACCTTCATAAATCACAAAGAAGCCTTTGCCCAGGATGTTACTGCTGCTCCGGAACTCGATCCACAGCCTGCTGTCCGTGGAGATTACTGGTTCAGGGATCTTGTCACCACAAAATCTACCTAGAAGGCAGGAAAGAGATGATAGCACCACATAGCAGGCACCTGTGGCCCCAGGCAGCAAAGAGTCTGTGGTTAAAGGAGCTCTGGCTTGTGTAAAACACCCTTTCACTCCCACCACTTGTGTTTTTGAATGAGTTTCTGTCCCCCCCCAATTCGTATTCAATTATTAAATTAATAAAAGTTTTCTTCAGCTGAGACCAGAATCCCATAGTCACAGATGCAGCCTCTGTTACCCAGGTAAAATCACAAGGGCTCTTGTTTTGATCACGTAACTGGGCAAATAAGCTGCAAGGGTAGGGAACCATGCCCTGTCCTTCTAAAGATGTGACATTAAGGAACATCCTTTCCACCTGCTAGGCCTTAGAAACTCCATCAGCATTTTTGCATCCAAAAGCAAACTAAGTCAAACTGAGGGTGAGATGTGGCCATGCTGATAAGAAAACACCCCTTATCTCATCCTCTGCTCTCACCTCTTCCCAGTGAAGCCTCTGCAGTCATTCAACCTCTTTCAAGAGAAAGAGACCAAGAGCCTTTTTGATCCATGGTTCACCCAGCTCTGAGCTCTCTGGCATGCACCAGCACTGGTAAACACACAAATCCTGCCAGCAAGGATGAATCCTGAAACAGAACAGCTGCAGAGGGCATCTGCAGCCCAACCAACCTCAACAACCCCCTATTTTGGTGCTCCTCTACCTGTTCCAACAAGAATCTCCTCTCAGAAACAGAGCAAACATCAAGTATGCATGAGAGCACTTCATGCAAGGATGGTTTTTCACGTCGACTGACACCAGGAGGGATATATACTGAATTCAACATGGCCTTGGCACCCTGTCCAACTGAATCCCCAGTAGGAATTTGACAGAGAGCAGTTCCTTAGGTTGAATTCAGTCAGGGCAGCAGTGATAGGGATCCTGGCCTTGCAACACCAGGCAAAGGTTTCTTTGAACAACCTCCACTGGGTAAAAACCTGATTAATGCTTTACCTGCAAGACAACACCTTAGTTCCCATCAGCACGCTGCACTGGTAGTTCCCTACACTGAATGAGAAGACAGACAGTTCAAGTCTTACTGGTTGGCAGGCAGCGAAGGCTGTTGCTTTTCCTATGTATGGAGGGCAGAGTAGCTGGCATGAATCCTGTGTATTGAAAGCCTAGGGGCCTCCTGCTTAGTCAGCTGCCCAGTCATCTACTGCCACTTCTGGCTCTGCCTGCCTCATCTTCATCACTTGGCAGCTTCAGGAAGGCTATGACCTTCAAGGATACAAGAGCTATGCTTCTGTGTCAGGTCATTCAGGAGGTGTGTTGGAAACTTTGTTTCTCTGCAACTGCAGTTTCATCACCACTTTTTTCTCTCGTGGAGCCACTCATCCAAACATTATCTCAGACCCTAGCTTTACTCAGCTACTCAATTCTGAGCCCCTGTGCCCCCAGGCTGCCCATCGCTGTTGAGGCAGCATGACAGCCTGAAGCCTATCAATGGCATCTCCCATGTCCACTCCCAGAGGGGCTGCTAACAAACAGCATCAGAGTTGCAAAGCTCCTTCCTCGAGGGTCACTGAGCAACTGCCTCCTGGATTTAGACTTGGAGTTTAACAAGGGTGTCAAGGAGAGGAAACGCAGATGAGGAACGAGAATGAACAAACTCCTTAGAGTGTGATAAAGGACCCATTCATAAAAAGTTATACACCATTTAAAGGCTGGGTTTTCACACACTTCCCTGGGAAAATATGCAGCGCACATGTATTTTTTTTCTCTCCGCAAGAAGCCATGCTTTCACAATTCACACTAATCCCCCTCCCCGCCCCCTGCTGAATTGCCGTCTGTCTGCCTCTTCAGAGCTAATTTCATGGGCTCAGCCCCTTGCGGGAGCTGTGGCCACTCATGCAGCGTCTCCTTCCAGATGGAAACACTCATGAGTCCACCTGCACTAGGGGGACGGGGATGTGCTTGTCTTCTGAAATACCTTTAAATTACTGGGCAGAAAAACTAAAATAACAAAGATCTAAGTTGCAGCTGCTGGAGCAATGTTACCTGACACATGTGCAGCAGAAAACAGCAAAAAATGCTGCCAACCCCAAAACAGGCAGAAAGAAGTAAAACCAGCTACAGCTACAAACTAAGTGCTGAAAGATAAGGCCACAGAAACTTCTGGAGAGCAGCATGGCTTCAGCCTCAGCACTTCGCCTGGTACCAGTGCTGTGATGTCCAGTTGGCCAAAGAGGCCAACTCAGGCCTCCCCAAGCCCACTGACCCCATACTAACTAGCCCAGTCCTGTGCTGCAGCATGGGGCACAGCAACTCTAACATAGCTGGAGATGCTATACAACCTGATTGCTTCTTTCCTTTCAGGCACAAGTGGCTGTTTGCAGTGCAGATTTTACAAGCTGGGACATCAAGGTCAGGGTATGGAGTCAGGATCAGAGCCAGTGGCAAAGCAGGTGGAGCTTCTGACTGCCCACTCAGGGTAACAGAAGACTTGCAGTTATGATAGCAGGAGGCAGAGGAATAGGGAAGACACAAAGGAGCTGCATTGTCTTGAGATCTTTGGGAACAGGAGCAGAGTAGATAACTTGCACAGTTTGACATCCTAGGCATGGTCTAGCAAGTTCCCTGCTAGCAGTACAGAGGCTCAAAATACAGATTACTATGTATTTGTGAACATAAACTCTTGAGAAATAATGGCAGTAGCTTGGGCCAGGAGCTGCATGGCTGCTTCATTCTGACTGTCTGACAATTCCACCCCAGTCTTAGGAAAAAGCAATAATAAAACTCCAGAGACCACATTTTTAGTCCTAGCCATTCCCCTGGCTCACTTACCTCTCTGCCTTGCTTCTCAAGCTGTGAAAGGAAGGAATAAAGTCTTTGCTACCAAAGGGCTTGGAGCATGGATCATTTGGTGTGAATACAGCGCACCAACATCTCTGGATGGAGACATTAATGGATGGCCAGTGTACTGGCTAGATGTAGGCTCCTTCCAGGTAAAGGAAGGTTTGTTTCTGGGTTTCCCCCCCCCCAAACATCAAGAACACCACATAAAATGCAATTAATGAAATAGCTACTCACCCAGTAATGGAGCCTTCCTCCAGTAGCCATCACGCACCTCCACATAATCATACCAGCAAAGGCGACTTTTAAATAGGTCCATTGATGTGAAGTTTAACATAATCTGAAAGGAGAGAGCACACACTTCTCTTTAGGAAGGGAGCTACTTTAAAGGAAGACCCAACAGATTACATGCTTCACCTCTGCTACAGTGCTGCCTTAATGAGTATGCAGGAAAATACAGTTGGATTTTTTAATCAGCTTTCCTCAAAAAAGAAACCCTGCTTTTTATTTTAATGAAACCATGAAAGTACATGACAGCAAATAGCATTTTGCTACCCATTCTGTAATTCACGGTCACTGCTCCTCAGTTACTAAAATTTTACTTAGAAAAAGCCCAATTTGGGTTTTTTAAAATTAAAAACTGCATCTTTGGTTTTGATTAATGTAAACATCATAGAGAAACATATTGCCCCAAAACACAGATGTTTACGGTCTATACCCTTATATAAACAACGCTTATAAGCAATGGCTAATTTTGCTGACAAGTTTCCAAATCCTGACACACACAGCATCACTGTGACGCAATTGTGTTCAGTGGCTTCACCAAGCAGAGTTTAGCATTTACATTTTATCCCTTTGGTCTCCTTCCTCTGTAACATGTATTAGAAGTCACCAACAGAGTGTACTTGTGTCATTTTTGTCCTCACAAGATTTGATCCATGTATTAATTTACATCTATATAGTCTGTCACAGAAACATCATTAGTTTACAACAGATATTCTCCTCCAAAGCTCTGGCTGGATGTGCAGAGTGCAGTCTGTAACAATGTCACTTACTTTGTACACACTTTTGCAGTTTTCTGACTTTGGGCAGCAAAGGAAGGTTCATCTGTTTCTATGCAGATGAGTACTACAAGCCCAATATCTGTTCTAAGCTAATACCTCGGTGCTATGATGTTATCTTGTACCAGTTGCTGCATTTGATTAAACAGGTAAGTTGAAGCATTTCATTTAAACTTTTTTTTTTTTTTTTTTAACATTAGTCGTTCAGCATTTAGACACTGGCTCCCGACTGATACAACTCTTCTGAAGAGGCTGAGAGACAGGAGAATTTACAGCAAGATTTACACCACGAAACTCCCAGTGCCGTAGTTTCAAAACCTGGATGGTTCTTGGCACCTCTGCCTCTGGCGAAGCTCTCCCTGAAGCTAATGGTGGGAACTTAGCACTACATGGGACTGGTCTTGCAGGTCACAGAACTGGGTCACAGAGAAAGGCAGCTGCTGCAAAATGAGTGAGCTCTGCTCTTCTTTGTTCAAGTCTGAGTCTTAAGTATATCCTGAGGGTGGTCTTCAGCAAAACCACTCTGCTGAGGAGATCCCAAGCCAGGCTGTGTATTCTTGCAGCTTGGTATGGCATGAAAGGCCTGAAGGGCTGGTGTTAGTGGATTAAGGAGAGATTTCATTTCCACAGGAAGATCAATAAAACAAAATGATCTGGGAAGAAAGAGATGCTCAGTGGGGCTTGGCAGTTCAAGGCAGAGAGTGGGAGTCCTCTGACAGGGCCATTATGCCTGTGTGACAGGGCCAGGCCACTGATGTCACTCACAGCTCCTCAGCTCCCCGTAGGACCCCAGCTTGCTGGCACACTTCACCTAACTCTTCTGACTGGCACCTGGCTTTGAAAGGTGAATCCGGCCAGAGCTAGTGGGTGGCAGGAAAAGGCTATGCAGGATTCAGTCTTGAATTGAAAGGAAGTATCAGAGATCAACATGCAGCCCAGACCTGCGAGAGGGCTCTGCTCCAGCATTACCTCTTCTCACCTCGGGACCATGTATTCATGACCCCATCTCTGGAAGGACAGCAGTGGTGCTCAGGAATTTTTCCAGGATCCATCCCTGCACTCTAGGCATGCGGAGATCTTTTGGCAGCTGCTAACAATGTCATCACAAGCAAAACCACATGCAAGGGAAGTGCAGAGTATACCTTATGCTGGTGTGGGACCTACCTTCTCCCCTGGGGTCACTGAGATCCTCCAGACACAATGAGAATAGGAGGGGTAGCCATTTGGAAAACCAGGGGCTGAGAAATTTCCTGTTGAGTCCTGCAAGGTCTCTCCACAAGCTACAGGAGAGGGGGGAAAAAATACAGTAACAATAAGTGACTCTCTGAAAGACATCAGGGTCTACCAGAATGTTTGCACATGGCTGCTGTGTGTAGGTTGGTGGCTGGTACTCTAAGGATGTTCATTCATAGTACTGGCCAAAGGATATTGACCACCCGAGACCTTGCCAAAAAGATGATGTGAAATTTGTCAGAATTCCCAGGATAGAAGATGATCAGTGCAAGGACACAGGAGAAACAGCTTTAAAAAGGCACCCTTCTTCCTTCATCTTCCTTTCACACTTCAGCATTTTCAGGTTTCAACCCCATAGATGAATATCTCATCCACTAATCAAATGAAAAATATTAACCCCACTCCACCTCACAACCCCAAGACTGCTGCTGACAAGTCTGTTTTCCCTTCATTACAAGCTGCTCAATTAAGTTCTCCTTAGTTACCATTGTTAAGTGTCTTTTTTGAGGGGTTAAAACATCCTAACAAAAGCAGGGCAAGGCCCACTGACATCATGCTTTGGCTGTCTAGCACCTACCCTGCTGTCACACCGTGCAGGATAAAATGTGAGCACTGCAGCTCACTCTGCTCTCCACCCTCCCATTTTTGTGGCCTGCTGCAGTTGATGAAATGTAGATTCCAGAGCAACTTTTGAGAAGTAATATGAAGACATATGTTCCTTCAGGGAACTGCAGCTTCCAACATCTGGGAAAGGTATGACTACTGTAGTTCCTGCTCTCTGAGCCAGGAGGACCAAGCTGGAACAAGGAGTGATCATCTACACCTGCAGAGCAGCTGACTGGCTAGATGGGAGGATCACAAATATCAAAGCTCCCATATCCTTCAGAGTGTTCACTAGACACATGCAAACACTTATTGCAAGGAACAGGGACCTTGGCTTGCCCATTTTCCAGTTGTTTTTCCAATTTCCTAACCCACTGATGTTATAAAACTGCTCTTGACCTGCAGCTTGGTTTCCTCAGTGACAGTAAGACAGCTCCCAAAAATCCCTTGTAAGCAGCAGTGCTTTGAAAGATCTGACAAGTCCGAACATCTGGCTCCCTTTCTCATGGAAATGCCAGGGGATGTTCCTCTGTCTGATGCTATCACACACTCACTAAGTTTTCAGCCATGATTACATTTAGATGGGAGAGTTGAAAGTTGGAGGTGAAGAGACTGGTCCCATTCAAAAAGTTTAATATCTTCAAAAAGGGGAGAGGGAGTCACCTAGACCAGAATTTTTTAATTTCTCTGAAGTAGTTTGATCCACAGCTTGACAGATCAGACTAAATGAACAATAGGCAGGGACACAAAAAGGGGTTTTTGCCCAACCAAACAGGTCAATGGATGCTCTGGAAGGTGGAGTCACTCCTAGGAACAAGTAGCACATATTTCAATACACAGGTCAGCATGGGATCTGGCAAAGTGATTCTGGTCAGAAAAGCCAAAGGTATATTAAACTACTAGAAAAAAGCACCACTGAGCAAAACAGGCAGGTAAATGCACACATCTGCCCCAGAGGAATGAAGAAAATAAATGAAAGGTCCAAGCCTCTACACTGCTCCTTCCTTCTCAAGCAGCTTTGAGCCCTGACAACTTCCCCTACCATTATGCAACTACAAAGGAGCATTGCACAGCAAGTTTTATATCCAGTTCTAGCAGAAATAGCTAATATCCTCTCACCTCTCCCAAAATGTTTGGTAGGTGATGCTGTCCGTATTCTTTGGGTGGATGGAGATGCTTGTAAAAGGTGATAACCCGCAAGAACTGGAGAAGAAATCTGGACTTCTATCTGCAGAATAAATACACTTTCTTCCTTTCTACCTCTTGCAAAGATGCCTTTCCCTGTTACCTGAGTCAGAATCTGTTAGGATAATTCCAGCTCCCAGTATGTTCCTCAATCAGGAAATGCATGCTGCCCCAGCAGACAAACATCTCAAAGAAGCTGGGTCCCAGCCATACTTATTCTGAGGACAGCAAGCCATTCTTCAGCTGATCCTCTGGCATCACCACTGGTCAATGCATGGTCTGGAATGACCACCACCTTAGGATGGCTCTAGGAATGCCATCATCTGACAAACTGTCCCTATAAAGAGGGGATTCAAATCCATAACCCACCAAGGTAAATAAATGGGGTTTTTTATATGCTCAAAAATCTATTTAAACAAATATGAAATTATAAAGAGAGCTCTAAATCACTGGGAACACATACTACATGACCATAACAAAGAGGATTACTGTCCTCAGCTGTACCACAGTGAAGGTTTCTGACAGCCCAGAGTTAATTCTCCTAAGTGTAATTACACAGCTCCTGGCAAGATTGTAATTATGGAACAGGTACTAATGTATCTACTATGAAACATTACTCTGCTAAAAGATCAAGAAAGGAGACCCAGCTAGCTATCTACCTTGGAGAGGAAACTCTCCAAACATGCTGGGAGAGGCTGGCCTTTCAGCGCGGAGGAGAGCGACTGCTTGCACATGCATGAGTAATGCATATTTGTGCGTAGGGCACAATCTCTTGCAGAGCACACCAAAAAGCAATACAACTGTACTCCACTTAGTAGCAAAGAAGTCAACAGGTCCAATAAGACTAGTGTTTGGTACTTGTGGGATCCAAGAAACCGAGCTGAGATGGTTTTCGCCCATGGTGAAGAGCCTGTTTTACACATAAGCAGCTAGAAAGGAACAGAGGTGAAAAGCAAAGTAGAAAAAGCGAATGTTTCATAGGTCATTTGTAAATGAAATAGTTGAGTGACCGGCACTTACTGCTCATCAGCTGGTTACTGGTACATTACAACTGTTTGAAAATGCAGAGAGAATTGGAAGGGATGATATAATGCAGGACAATTCTCAATTTATGGTTTAGCCATTCCTACACAGCACAGCCACACAGGTCTGTCTCCTTCAGCACCACACAAGGCAGCAGGACATGCTGTTTGAAAGTATTTTGTAGTGACTATACTCATCAAATCCTCAAACATGCAGCCATATAAAATCTAACATTTATTACTACTTAGCAGAATGCAACTTGTCTTCCAGTTTGGTTTCACCTGGCTTGGCACTAACTTTAACCCAGCAGGTACAAGCTTTGGGGAATTAAGAGCAATTTAAAACAGCAGGGTTTTAGAATGGAAAAGCTAAGCCAGCCCTAACTGTAGCAGCTACAAGAGCTCCACTCTAATGAGTTGGGAGAGCCCTGTTTCTTACAATAGACAGTTTTTCTGACTCGTACCAGTACATGCTTGCAACTCATCCTCGACCATGCTAGCTCTTTTTTTGGGAGGATTTTCTCATGCATTCTCAGATGAAGACTCTCTTTCTAAAAGGGAAACCATCTGCCACTCAATTTCTGATTATGTTGTTGCATTTTACCTAAAAATCCTCAGCTTGACTATTGAATAAAGTTGTCCTCAACCTAAATTCAGACCCTGCTTGAACATACAACTGAAGTTCTTTGGTTTTGAACTCCTGTGGTTTGCATTTTGCAGAGGAAGAGAACTTTTCAAGGTGCAGATTCAAATGACAATTGAAGATGTTAATGTCATTAAATATACTGCATCCCTTCTCTTCAAATGCAACCTGTGTATAAATTCTTATGCAAAGAAAAACAGAAAACCAAACCAAAACAGATGTTTCAAGAAAATTTGTTTAGTAGGCATAAAGCTCTTTTCATTCTGCTGCAAAATAAGTTCTGAACTGCAACAAACTCTGCTACAGCTTTGTGGAAAAAAACCTAAAAAGGCAGAAAAGTTCTACTTTGCAAGTGGAAAACTTGAGACTCAGAAGGGTTCTAATTTTAAATAAAGTTGTTTTGCAGTTTTTAGTTCGACTTAAACCTCAGGCCAAAGTGGCTTTTCAGCTTGCCTTAAGAAATCTGAATCTATAGTAGATACTTCCAGCTATGGGAATGAAAAGCCTGTTGGTTTAAATCTGACTCGATTAAAAAAAACATGGTGCAAGACATCCCTGAAATTTTTTTTTGAGTATTCAAATGAACTAATCCCTAAATAAATCTGTGAGATAATTTTCCAAGAATTACCTCTTGTTCAACCAAAAGTGAGAGAAAATTATGAGTGGTAAAAAGAAAAGAAAAAGTTAATTAGAACTAGCACACCTAAGAAAGTTATACTACTCAGTGGTAAGTGATCCTCAAACATCCCAGACCCTGAAGTCCCCAGAATTCATTCTAGACCCTTATGAACTCTCTGACCTGTAGGTGGATACAGAGAAGCAGCAGATTTGCACACTAGCTATCAACCATTTTCCATGGCCTCATGAATGATTCACAGAGCAGTGGTAGCCAGTCACTCAGTTAAGATGCAACTCTGTACACTGGTAGAACTTATTCCTCCTCCTCACCTTCTCCCCTTTTTCTGTGATATACTTATTTGAAGAGGATTAATCATTTATGATCATATTAGGTTTATGATCAGTCAAAGCCACTCTCAACTGGGCCAATATGCTGGCCACATCAATCCATTTAGATAAACTCTTGGGCCATGCTTGCAAAAGTACTTTTTTGTGTCCCTGCATTATTACGAATGTTACAGAGTCATTCTGCAAAATTAGAGCAACTCTCTCATCTCTCATTCTCCACTATCTTCTCATGGATGCTTCATTACCTGCAGAAATTCAACAAAGCCTGTTAAATTTTCTAACTCCAAGCATCACATCTCCCATGCTATCTCTCTTCTCAGTTGCTGCAGTCAATGCCACAGGCACCAGACCGGGTGCATCTTGGCTTGAAGCCTCTCTTTACATACTGTCCTTAAGTCTGGCAGATTGCTTTTCTGAAATCTGGTTTTCTCTGTTAACTTATTCAGTTGAAACTGTTGCATAAACTTTCACTAACACCTCCAGTTTAAAAGGATCCTTTTGTTCTGATGGGTAAATTTAGTCTCACAGTCATATTTGTGATCCTAGTGATCTTTTTGACTACCTTTTCAGACCCCACATAAAGCAGAACCCGAACTATTGGTCTTTAGTATGTCACACATACATAGATGGGTTCTCTACCAAAGCTGTTCCTAGTCTATCAACCCTTCAGTAGCAGAAAGAAGGATATAGTCCTCTCCTGAACAGCCCAAAGCACCAGCTTCCAGCACCTGTTTGTTTCACAAATCAGCATATTTGAGCTTTCTTCCATGTTATCTCCCAAGCCTCAGTGCAACACAACATAATCACAGAGATAAACTTACAGTTTCTTTAAGGCTCGTCTCTGGGACAAGAAGTATATAAATAATTCAACAGAAGTTTGATGGTTGGTGTGTAGAGATCCCAGTTTACCAGATATCCCTCTGCACTTTGCTAATTCCTAGTCCCTACTCTGTGCGTGGTCTTGTACATCAATTTCATTTTCTATGAACAGAGTCTCTACTGGACTAACCTGAAGCCCTAAACCAAACTGGAATACTGGCAAAGTACTAATAGGAGACACATATTAGGCAAGTTCAATCCTCACAGAAGTCCAGCCTGAAGAATTTGATGGTCTAACATTTCCTGAGTCTCTTTCATCAAAGGGATTGTTAAGGTGCTCTTGAACTCCAAGGCCTTACAGATAAACCACGTGTCTACTATAAAGCTGGATCCATCTCCACAAGCCATATTTACCTGGGCATTTGTACAACTTCCTCGCCTGAGCGATGTCTCCCTGACTCAGGCGAATTCGCTGACCAATAGTTGGCCGGACCCCATTATCATCACGACGGGGAAGGATGGTGTCGAGGAAAACCCCTCTAAAGGGAAGAACAGAGAGACACAGGGCAGTGAAGTAGATAAAGTGACATGATGCACAGAAAGTCATCCTGGCAGGCCTCCCACACCATCCCCTTGACCATATATCTCATGCTAACAAGCAAGAGTAATGCAGATTGTGATAACTGCTTATCTTGAGGGGGCCCTTCTTGCTATAGCACATAACTTCCAAATGTAAACACAAGTCTACCAAGCCAGTAAATTCCTGATATATTGTGATATATCAAGGTTGCTGCTGCCTCTGAGTACAGACATATTCCTTGCTATAAATCAGAAAAGGCAATGAAGTGTTCTTGCAAAGGTTCATGGTACATCTGCCTCAGCAGGAGCACAGATTGGACATTTAAGCCAAAGGAGCAGAGTGAAGGGGAGTTTGTTCAGTAGCTGGCAGTGACTGTGGTTGCCACAGACAAGATAAAAAAAACAAGTGCTCTAGCTTTGTTCTGCATGAGTTTCTAAGCTAGTAACTCCACTTGTCTCTGACTCTTTTTCCTCACAACTATTTCTTCCATGTGGTACTTCATACTTAGGAGCTCTTTACTGCACTTCTGATCTCAGTCCAGTAAAGGATTTAAGACCAGGCCTCGCTTCCATGAAAATGCAGAGTCCATGCATCCAAGCAAAAGCTTGCACGCAAGAGAGACCCCAAGGCAACATTAGGACTGCAGGGCTAAAGTGGGAGGGAGGAATCAAAAACCTGAACTCTAGGCTGATGAAGGCCAAGCTTTTGTGGCCAGACTGTCCAAGTCCACAGGAACTATTTCACTGCATCCCTGAATGCCTGACAGGCTTGGAGGTGCACAGGCTAACAGTTGAAATTTCAGCATCAGTTCAGTGAGGAAGACTTCTCTTTCTGAAGGACAGGATACAACTATCTGTAGAGTTTGATGGGAAATCAGGGCAGAAGCAGTAATTTCAGCGCTGCCTAGTCCTGATACAAGATTCTTCAGGTATCGGTTAAGCTCTGAGTACACAAATAATTCTGTTCATTGGGCTGTTCAACTGTGTAAGAGCCTTGGGAAAGAGTTTGAGAGGGTTTTTTGCATTGGTTTGATTTTAAATAAATCCTGCAGGCAGAGTACTTGGATCACAGCTGTCCAGAGCTGCAGTCAGTATTCTTGAACAGAAATTATCATTCTATTAAACACATTTTGTGTGAGGAAATTATTTTGTAAATATTCAAACTGAAGAAAGATATAGAGAGGAAAGAATTTAATCTGTTTTAAAAACTAGAATCAACTCTTGCATGGGGGATGTTTTTCTTTCAGTGGTAGGAAAATTCCCTGATCAGCACCAAAATGAGTGCTTACAAGCTCTGAGGTGAGCCCATCTAATTTTGGTTGATGAATTCCAGCTGGCATTCTACACTGCTTGCCTCAGGCTGAATTTATTTATGTATCAAAAATAAATTCTCCAATTCCAGAAACACCATGAACAGAGAAGCAGGTTGGTTTGCTTGAAGTAAGTTTTCAACTCTCCTCAGAAGTTCACAGAAGAACTTGGCATTTAGCAGGGATGTACTTCTGTGGCCAGTGAAATGCTTTCTGCAGATCTCCAGGCTCAACCAGGGAAGAATGACAAAGTTTAATAGAGAAACCACCACTTGTACATACAAACTTTTGATTCTTTCTCCCATTCTAGCCCTCACAACTACGTACTCACAGCCTCTGGCCTTCTGCAAATAGCATACACCGAGGATATTGCTCACACAATGCAAACAACCCACAGCTTCAAATTACCCTTATTACCCTGCCAAACACATTTTCTTCCAGAAGGCTCTACCCTATGTTGGGGCAGTAAGATTTATGGGTTTGCCTTTTCCACCAACTGAGTTTTGTACTCTCTACACATGCATTGCTGAACGTGACTCCAAATTACATGGTGGTAAGTATAGTTCCTCTTGTTTTACTATCAAAGGAACTGAGAACAGAGGAGAGTCTTCCTGGCCTAAACCACACAAGTCCCAGCAGTCCCATGCTGTCCACCCAAACCCCATCTGCTTAACAACACTTATGATGTTAAGCTGCATGTTTGGTGTGTGTCTTTAATAGCACCGATACTTTGGCTCACAAATTAAAAACCACCAAGCAGACATCATTACACAGAGCAGCTCAGGAACTCTAACACCAGAACCATTCCTGAATAAGATACCTAAACTCTCCTCCCAGAGGTAGGAAAAGAACCCAGCAATCTTGGGATGCCCCATTCTCCTGCTGTCCAGGCATGGGCAGAACAGGCATTAGCTGCCCAACACAGTGGTAAGCCAAGCACAACAACCCACCATTGCTACTAGCTAAGAACAACAGAGAGAAGAGATACTCTCAAGAGTCATTAGCATCCACACAATACCCTGAATGTGTAAAGATTTATGCAAACATCATGAAATTATCAACTAATCTTGGGAAATGCTGAACATTCACTGTGTCATCTGAGGGCAACTGATACAGGTGCTTGAACACCACTGAAAGAAGCAGCTATTCGAGGCAGGTTAAGCACTCAGCTGCAGGCACCTATATTTTGTCCCAACTCTACATTTATATCCCCATGTGCAGAAGAGAGACAATACTACTTCTCACAGTAAAACCTGTGGAGGATGCGTAGACATCATGCACATAATTAGGATGGTGTGTTACAATTATATCAAGAAGATGCCTGTTGAAAAGCAGGCAGTGCTACCTGCACCCTAATTTGAACACAAGCTTTGCAGAGGCCATGTTTATAACTCTGGGCTGTGCTGCCATGTCTACTAGCAAGAGACTTAGTGAATTAAGGAATTAAGGTGACCACTATTTGCTTAGAGCTCTGTGAAGGTTTAAACTTTCTTATTGCTAAGCTGCCATTTATGGGTCTTGACAGCTGTATAAGAAATTGTTTAATGAGCCAGCAATATTAAATTTAATTTGCTGCCACATCTGCAATGAAAGCACCAGGAAATAAAAACCTGCAGCTACACTCTGAAAAACAGGCAACTTTGTGATATAGGCAAGAATAGAAATTCCCATGGTAAAAACTTGTTACTGCTGTCATTACAGCCTCTTGTGCCATCCTCCTATTCCCATTAGCCACAGACACAAATGAGAAGTAAGTTTTGCTGTGAACTGTAAATGAGGAGTGACTCCTACAGCAAATTTCAAAAGCACCACTGGAAACAATTTCCATTGGTAGGACACACTACATCTCAGAAAAGCTGTCACTTTCTGTCCTAGGTACAAAGTTTAGAATAAAAAAGACCCAGGATTTGCAGCAGCACTTGACCATTGCAAACACCATATGATTTGCCACCATCAATACTCACAGGAGTTGTAAACAATAAGGTTGAGCTAAGTGCCACATAAGAGTTGCTTCAAGACACTAAGTCACAGACACATCTTTGTGTCCTTCACCTCCTCCTCACTCACACACCCCATCTCCGCTGGTGGGGTGTTCACACCATCTTTTTCCTATGTAGACTTTCTGGTGTCTGCTAATGTATTAAAACACCCATTATAGTCCTTCTCTTGCATGGTCACACAGGGCTCTCTCCCATTCCTAGCCACTGATCTTAATGAAACTTGCTGGAACTTACTATCTTCATGGACTCTATGGGTTGCAACTGGCCAGCACTCACAAAACTCAGTAAGGTGGGAAGGAGACATGCATACACTCACAAATCTCTACTGATTGGTCTAAATAAGCGTCATTCCCTCAGGGAAGCAGATGTCAAGACAGGTCTTGGTAAAGTAAAAGCCTGTTCCCAGCACTGCTTATTTACAGTGAGAGCACAATCAGCCCACAGAGGCACTTAGTGCTCAGTTCAATTACTGCACAAAGACTGCTACTGGGGTGAGGGTGGGTCACAGAGACAAAGGGCTTAAAGAAAACAGACTTAAAAATCCTATTAAGCACCAATTTAAATTTAGAAGGACTCTTGCCATTTTTATCCCTTTTTGGCCTAGCAGTGTTCTGAAGGACCCTGCTTTTTAAGAGACACAGACTCACAGGCATCTACAATATAAATGGCAGTAATAACTTAATACTGCTTTTGTGCAAGACAATTCTAACCATTTAGAGTCTAGCAAATGCTGGAAGGGCCTAGTAGATACCTCAAGGGAAGAAAAATTGTTTGCTTTGGGTATTTGATCCAAAGAAATCTCTGAAAATTGCAAAGCACCCTTGCTCCGCCACATCTCCACCTGCCAGAACAAGCAGCATTTCACAAGTTTGATAATTTTCCCCTGGTTGATGTGAAGCTTTAGAAATAAAAGCAGAAAACAACAGGCTTGACACTTCTGTACAACTGGGTAGTAAGACTTTTTATAATAAAAGTCCCAAAGACACCTTTAATTTTTGCAACAAAAAGTTCTCAAGAGTTTGAATATCTGTGCTCTGCCTCCCATCCCCTTTATTCATGGTATATAGTGAAGGAAAGATCTTGAGAAGAAGCAATAGTGGGATTTATGGAAAAAAAAAGCTTCAAATAATGCAGCAAAATGAAGCTGGTCATCCAGTAACTCTCATTCCAAATCCAGGACATAAATAACTAGATATGTTCATTTCACCTCTTTATCCATTAGAGCTGTCTGATCATAAAATGGGCTCCATCTGAAGGAGTGAAATGGGAGTCAAGGGCAAACAGCCTACACAGAAACGGGCCAGTTAGTTGGGACAGGAACAGAACCAAAAACTTCTCCGTGAAGAAGCCAGTCACACAGAATCACAGAGCTGCAGAGGCCATGATCTAAAGCACATGTATAAATGGTTAAAAAAAGTACCCAAGTAATTAAAGATCACAATCTTCGGTTTAAGTTCTCCCTTGGCAAAGTTGCTAGGATCTCTGAAGGCAATTATGACTCCAAAGCATGAGCTGGACAACCAAGAGATTCAAAGCTGGTGCCAGCATTACCTTTCCTTGCACATGGACATATGCAAGACATACATATACACTACCTGGAAAGGTTGCAAAACATGTTTGAGTTTATCAGCACTGGGTGAATATAGTGGGGAGGGGAAAACAGGAGTCCACCATACTTCACCCACCTTGACTTTCCAAATATTTTTCAAGCTTTGCAATTCAGCAGAGCTCACTGAAACTGCCACATATTTCTGCAATAGATCATAGGTCTCCTTCTAGGCTCCATGTATCCCAAAGACTCAGTTGTAACTACTGAAAACAGTCCTAAGGACATGTAACTTTGGATTATCACCTGGAGAATGTGTTCCTAGCATAGTGCATGATGCTGTCAAAGTCATAGGTCTCTCCCAGTGAGTTCACTTCCCCAGCTTCCATCTTTAAAAAGTTGTACTCCTGACCTGTGATGCCAAACACAAAGGGAAAAAAACAAATCACTTTAAAATAAAAAAAAAGAAAAAGCCTTAAACCTCTGGGAGCCTAGAATGAAAGTGATATATACTCCTACATTGCAACAATTCTAGCTGGATCTCTATTCACCCAACTATTTTGACTGTTATTCTAGGCAAGATCTGGCAAGGTCTAGACAAGGTATTCTAGCAAGAAAGGTGTCCACCCTCCCAAAAGCCAGGTGGAAGAACCTGAAGTGCTATTTTACCTTGCTGTATGTTCTCTCTGATGATCGTGACATGCTGGTCCCTGTCAGGCCGTGTGTGCTCATGCCAGAAACCCACCACATGACCCAGCTCATGAGCCACAATACCAAACTTGTCACAGTTCTTTCCAATGGATATAGCCTGAGGGCCCCCTCCTCTGCGACCGACATATGAGCAACATCTGCAAAAGAAAACCCACAAACCCATGCAGCACATCAGTGAATTGAGGAAGTCTGAGACATACGAATGATGGATGGCGCCTGGCAGGGTCCAGGACAGGCCAGCAGTTGCATACACTAATTATATGTACTTACATGTATATATGTGTGTGTGTATAAAGAAAACATGTAAGTGCCTATCTATAAAAATGCATATATACACTTAAGTGTTATCACACGGAAAAGAATCCAGACAGGCTTAGCAACTTCTGAGCAAATACTAATTTATTCTGGTAATTCTTACACGAAATGACCTGATGCATCTCTGTGACACATTCCCCCATGTAGCCATTGGTCTATTCTGGCCAGAGCTAGACTTACAAAGACATTTGTCAATGGAAGAGATGTTTGCAGTGCAGTCAGCTGCAGGGAATGTGTATGTCACTTACCCACACGTTCTGTACGTGAACACAATGAAACTCTCTTCATCAGTTCTCTCCACAAATGTTACACAAGTGTGCTTCTCCCAGTGCCTCATTGCTTGCTTAAAGATAGCTCTTTGGGTTCCTGAAAAAGAAATCCAAGAGCAACAAACAGTGAAGGCCTGACTTTCAGGAAAAACTCCAAAGGACTTCATCTACATAGGGAACAGTCTATCTTTCCAAGTCTATCTTACACCTGTAGACACCTCTTACTGTATCATCCTTTTCTCTCCTTCTGCTTGATGTTTAATTAGAGCAATTAATTCAAGTAGCAAAATTGGTTAAGCACATCAATAATTCTGCATACAATAAATTTCACCTCAGTTAGGTAGCAGTCATTCTAGCAGAGATGCTGAGTGTTCTGATCTTGAGCACCAGCTACTCAGTGGTGTGCCAAATTTGCTCTCATGACACAATGTAACATGATCACACACATCTTTTAAGACCCAGGAATCTCACGAGTGCTACAGATGCTCCTCAAAACTACGGCAAAGCTGTTGTTAGGAGTTTATCTTTAAAATTAGAAGAAAAAAAACCTTATATAGGAGCTACAGGCAGTCTCAGGGCAGTATAAGAAGGTGTAGAGATACAATACTGCTCTGTGCTCAAACTGAGGGACAGCTCAGGACTTGAACAGAGACACCTGAGAAGTAGGGTATTATGCCTGTCTCACTCTAGCAAGAAGACAGGCCACCAAACATACTGGCCTTGAACGCCCAGGGAGGGGGGTACTTCTAGTAGTCACTCAGCAGCAAGTCAGAGAGCTGGGAAGCGATAGCCCAGAGCAGTACACTGCCTCAGGAGGTTCCCTACAGTACGGCCTTACCAGCATAGCCTTTGGTACATGCAGGACTGGAGAGCAAGCCACCACTCTCAAGGGGGACTAGAGAGTGGAGAAAGGCCAGAAGTACATCAGAAAGGCACAAGGAATACAGAGAGGAGCTCCAGTGTGGGATTAAACTGAGGAAAACCACCAAGACGAACGCAAGCGAGAACTGTGGTATGGCAAGAGCTGCTTCTTACACAAAATTTCTTCAAAATGGAAGGATGGCATTACCTACTCTGGACTGACTGTGAAAGTGCGACACATGCAACACAGAAACAACTCTCTCATCAGGCCCTGAGTGATGGGGACAGCTGATCTCTGACAAATGTGGGGAGACAGAGGTGGCTAGCAGGCTACTCAATATCCTGCCAGGTTGCAGGATATCCCTCCCTTTGCAGGAGGTGAACAGACCCTTCCGCTGGGGCTTCACAGACTCCTGGCAGCAGTGTGGGTGCTGGGACAAAGTACATCATGAAAGCCCAACGGAATAAGGTCTGCTGGATCTAAGTGGGAGATAGTGGAGGCAGCCTGAGGGACACAGGAAGGAGCTGGCTCCAGTGAGGCACACAGCATTTATCATCCATGAGTCAAGGAAACCAATTCCATGGGGAACCACTGAGCTACAGAGAGGTGGCATCAGAGCAAGTTGTCCATCTGCTTTGTGTGAGATTGTGGAAGGAGATCTGCTGCACCCCAAGAAACATTTTAGTTTGGACAATGCCCAAGAGATGTTATAAAGATGCTAAAAAGGATACTTTGAGAGCTCCTCATCCACCATGGGACACAGTTCACCATTCCTCCCCCTCACACCTACAGGAGACCCTGAAGTTTGGTGCCCAGAAAACATCAGGTCAGGAAGCAGAGTGCACAGAGAAAGTTCTCTGAGTGGGGATTCAGAAAGCAAGCCAGGGTACTTTAGTTCCTGCTCTTCCAAGAGCAGAGAGGATTCCTTTCTGGAAACACAGGGGGTGAGCACAGCTCACAGGTGCTGGACCCTGAAGCAATTAAGAAACGTAACCAAGTCACCCAATTATTTCTTGAACTCCAACAGAAGAAACATCTTACTGCACTCTTCAGTCTCAGACTTCCACAGTGCACAATTCCTTATGCAACCACATCACCACTCTGCCTCAGGAGAGAGGCTCCCAAGGACCTGAATCATTTGTGGGAAAACTGCTCCTGAGATCTCCCACACATTTTGAAGCACTCACCCCTGAGCAAACAGGAAGCAATGTTTTCTCTACTGACCAGTGAAATTTCCTCCGATCACATAGGGGATCACCCCCCCTGGCCAGATCCTCTCAGCTCTGGATGTGGTTGCCCTGCGCACTCTGTGAGAGGAGTGTGTATCCATCCCAGACTCATCTTTATATTCCTTCCTCTTCGGTCTCCTCACAAGCGTTGTGTTCTGTCTGCCATCTGCAAAACAGAGTGGCGAACTGTTTAAATGCTCTTTAGTTCCACATGCAGCCCTGAGGTAATACCCCAGAGCTTCGGAAAAAGAAAAACAGAGAAAGAAAGATGTTAATCCAAACCAAAAGCCACAGCCAGATTTGCCAGTGATTTATTTGGGATTTAGAGACAGTTAACCTGTAGCAAGCTGGCCCTTCTTGTCTTGGAGTCTCCATACACACTATGCCAAACCCATTCTTCCAGAAAGGTGTAAAGGGACACACCCCCTGTCTCTAATCAGCTACTCTCTCCAATAGCAACTTCATAGATGTGGACACAGTACTTAAACAAGGGGAACAGGAGGAGGGGGGGTGGTGGTGACAAACAAGCCCAGACATCCCTGTATATTCTCATCCTGCCCAATTCATACAGATCTGCAGAGAAAGGTTCGTTCTATTGGGGCTAGCTTCACAACAGCAACAACTATTCCTTTGAGTTGGCCTTGAAAGAAAAGGATGGACCCCTTAGACTGAAACCTATATTCAAGGATGAAAAGTATTACATAAAAGTGTTTTCACATGCTAAGCATAGGATAATTTGGAAATATATACAGATCAGATGGTCTCTGCTGGAGGAGGGATGCTTAGGGTGAAAAAGCCAAGGCATTCTATACTTGGCACAAATCTCTATCCATTCTGAATTTCTTAATTTTAATGAAAAGGAGCAAAAATACAGAAGGGAGAACAGGACACGTGTCTTACTTCTTGTTAAAAAGGCAGGGGAGCCCTGGCTGCGTGGTGCTCAGTGTTGACCATAAAACCTGCATGAGGATTCACAGGGGCTTCTAGGCAGATCCTGCACCTTGCCCTGCATCTGTGCTCCTGCAGCTCTGCTTGGATACTGGTTATGCCTACACGAGCTGCACTTTTAATTTGGTGTGGGTCTCACCCAGCAGAAAATATCCTCTATTCAGAGCTTCCTGGCTGTTAACCCCGTATTTGCTGTGCCATGAGTGACCCAAATTCTCAAAGGTGCCACAATCCAGCTGGGATTTACTAGCATGTGTAAGGACTGCGCAGACACCGCTTCTTAGATGAGCTACCTGCATCACGCAGCCAACACATCATCTGGACTTGGGCAAAGTAGTAAGAGTACAGGGGTTGAAACACCTGCAGAGAGTGCTGGACCTGCAGAGAATTCTGGCCTAAAGGATCACACCAGAGGGAACTCCCTCCTCACCTCCAGAGGCAGCACTGCTGGCAGTGGCTCCTCAGTGCTGGTGGACCTCTCTGGAGCACAAAGAGGAGGGATCTAAGCTCCAGCTGTGGTCTTGTGATTTGTATGGAAATCAGCAAGACCAGCTACAGCTTTGCTTCCCAAGTCAGGGATGTGGGCTGCTGGGTTATGAAAAAACACAAGCCCTGCCAAGAACTTCCTCCAGTGACTAGAGGGGTTGCTGAGAGTCTCTTCTCCCATTCATCCCTTCAACAGAAGCACAAGTAAGCAAACCACTACTGTCAAGGCTGAGGGGATCAAAACAATGGGAAGGAAATTAAGGCAGTGCATGAGGATGGAAGAAATGAACTTCATACTCTCCCTCCTGCTTCACCAGGTCCAGCCCTTCCCACTGAAGGCCTTGCTCTGAGCTGCAGGATAAAGCTGGGAATTTGCTCTTCCTCCTGAGCACCTCCCTGGCATGCTGGCTGCACCTGGCATTTAAGAAGCTGGCCCATCCCCAAGCCAGCTGCCCCATCATCCTCAAGCCAGCTGCTGGACCCTGGAAGGCAGATGCTCTCCAATGAAGTAAGAACCATCCTCCCCTTCTTTGTGTAAACCTACCCCAAAGAGGTACTGCTGTGGCATTACAAGGGTCACAACTGGAAGAAGGGAGAGGGTCTCTAGACAGAAGTAGTCTTGTGGACACCTGTCTCCCAGTCACAAACTGCTCCTGGGGCTGCCCAAAATCTCCACGGATTTGCACACAGCTCCTGCCATCAAAGCCAAGTGAGGAGCCATATGCCCTGCACTCTACTGCACCTGCACAGAGGACCCTGGGTGTATGCCACCAATACTTCCATTTCTTGACACTAACACACCTTCTTGGGTGAATTCTCTGCACCAGTCCTGCAACAACTCTTGACTGCTCCTAATGCCTGATAAAATTTTCTGCCTTTAACAACTTAAATTTTCAGTGGATCCTTGGAGAGACCTGACACACCGTCCTAGCAGGGACTTGGGGAAAGCAAGCAGCAGATGCTGTATCATCAGGGAACAGAAGAAATCTGGACAGCATGCTTGAAGAAGCACTGCTTACAGGCACTGCCAAGTTGCCTGTATGGAGAGGGTTTCTTCAGAAAGATAAAGCCAGACAGCCTTGCTAATGCTTAGTGTACCTGGATAAACCCTCTCTCACTGACTTGTACTATTGCTAAGCCTGGGACAACTGAGATTCTTTCTAAAATCCCCCGCTCCCTCCATGATGAACAACACCCACACCAGCTGTGGGTGAGAGACTCCTTACACTGCCCAGAGCCCAGGCAGTACTCTGCATCTGTGACATGCCATGGAACAGTCCCTGCTGCTCTCTGAAACTCACTCAGGAGTCTCTTAGCCTCATATGGACAGCAGAGACAGTCCAGCTTTACACCAATAGCAGCAACAGCCCATCTCTAAGTGGAAACAGGCCACCAGAAGCACCAACACAGCTCTGCAAGCAGAAGCATCTTCCCCAAGTGCTCTTGCCCATTGCTCCACTCTCAGTCCTGCCACCAGCTCAGGAGACATAAGCAGCTCCAATGAGGGAATACAGCAATGTGGGCTATGAACACAGCAGCCATGACTGGCTGTACCTGGCATTTAAGAAGCTGGCCCATCCCCAAGCCAGCTGCCTCATCATCCTCAAGCCTCAAACATCTCCCCTGCAGACTGAACTGCTGCATGGTCTCTCTGCCTCAGTGCCTCTGTCTATACATGGGAAACAACAGGCTCTCCTGCCCACATCTTGTAGAGAACAGGGCAACCCTGTGGGAATGCCTGTAAGATCACAGGTCTGGACTGATCCTGTAATCAGTACCCTACCTATATGAGTCGGAGAAGCCAACTGAAACTTGGCCTGGGTGATAACTTCAGGTGAACAGATGCATAAACTTGTTTAGCTGAAACATCTCTGTGACAGTGTCATGGCTACCTGTATGCACTGGGTCTGGATGTGAGGGAGTTAACTTTCCTCATAGCAGCCCATAAGGTACTATGTTTTGGAACTGTGACTGAAACAGTGCTGATAACACACCAATGTTCAGACTATTGCTGAAAAGTGCTTGCAAAGCATCAAGGCTTTCTTTTTCTCACTCTACTGAGTCCTGTCCACTTCCCCAAGTGAGTAGACATGGGATAGGCAAGAAGCTGGTAGAGGATGCAGCTGAGATAGCTGACCCAAATTGTCCAAATAGATATCCCATACCATATTGTCATCATGCTCAGCAATAAAATCTGTGGAGTTCTGTCTCCAAAGGTAGCCATTGCTCAGAAACTGGTCTGCTTGTGGATGGGGGTGAGCAATTGACATTATACCCCTTGGTTTTAGGTTTTTCCCCTCCTTCCTTCACTTATTAAACTGTCTTTATCTCATCCAGTGAGTTTTCTGACTTTTGATTTACCTGCTCTCTCACCTATCCTGCTCTGAGCAGCTGTGAGAGTGCTTGGCTGCTGGCTGGGGTCAACCCACTACCCTATACAAGGCAAACCCACCCTTGCAGAGAGTCCACCAACAACAACAAATGCACATGCCTGGGCAGGGCTAGTCTCCTAGACACAGAGGCACACACATGTACACAGGACAAAACACAGTTTTACAGGGGATAAAAAAGTAAACAAAAGATACCCAAAGGTCTGGGTGGGGTACCACATTACCCTTTTTAACTGCTTTGTTACTACAACCGGTTGAAGTGGTGTTCTCACTTGACACAAGAGACTGTTCTCCCAGGCCTCCTGCAAAATAAAAAAAGAGCAGAGACACATCTCCTGGTGAGTTGGCTGCCAGAGCTCTGACATGAGAAGGACAGCAGCTAACAGTGATGTCATTTGGGGGTGTGCTGGCCACAAAAATTGGTTGCTTTCCCTGTACAGGGAGTGGGGACTAAGAGCCGGATAAAGCTGGGCTCTTTTCCTGGATTTGTTCCTAGCCTAGAGTGACACCTTGCAACTCATTACCACCCCATACCTTAGTTTCCCCATATACTGAACAGGCACAAAGTCTCTTCTAGGGAAGGTTAACTCCATGGCCATTTACTGAGAATAGGAGCTATACAAGGAGGATGGTAGCCATTGTAAGTACCACTGCTAAATCTCAAAATTACAAGGTACACTGTCAAGGCAAAGAATGATTTACATTCAGACAAATTAATTGTTTATTACATTCAGACAAATACACTTTTATCAACATCTGGTCTGAATTCAGCCTAATCTGAAAATAAAAGTCCTTCTCTGACGCTAATACCCACTAGCTACCAAAGCAGGCTAGCCATGCTAGCTCCTGGGTATTTCTTGTGCTTCATCCAGCACCAGCTACCCCTTCCTTTTGGAGCAGCACTACCAGGCACAAAGAGGTCCCCAGCTTGTCCACGGAGGTGGCTCCCTCCAGCTCAGTCATCAAAACAAAAATGGTTGGTCCCACTCTGAGTACCTCCATGCCTGGCTTTTCTATTTCCTCATGGAAAACAGACTCATGATATTCTCATGATGCACAAGACACCAACATGTTGGTGGAGGGATCTGACTGCTTGATGTCACAACTATTGGGCACAGAAACCACTGCAGTTCCATGGCACTCTCCTACAGACAGCACTGTGCCCAACACGCTCCTCCAGACAGCACTGCTGCTTCCTCTACCCCTCAGTGTGCTACAGCAGAGCATTACTGGCAGCAGGGTGCAGTGAGCAGGGTGAAGCGACTCCACTGGGTTAGGCTGTCTGGCACACCAAGAGGGCCTGAGGGGGCTCAGTGCATCCAGAATACTCTACCAAAAGATGAAGACTCAGGGAGAGATCCTAGCTCCCCAGAAAAGTCACTGCTAGGGAATGGAGACAGAGACCCCTGTCTGTAGCCCCTACTGGTGTTTTGACCATTAAAGTACCACAATACTTGACAACAGCCCAGTACTAGATTGTAGTTTTTCTGATGTATGACATACAAATAGGATCTTCCCTCAATACAGGATCCATTCTGCCACAGAAAAAGATTTAAAGTGTCACCCAGTGCCAGAAACCTATTTAAAAAAAATAACTTGTTCATGCTTCTGTTTCAAAGGACTTCAGAGTAGTTCTGCCCACTATAAAGAAAAATACCAGCCGTGCAAACTCACGTGTGCTGCAGGAAGCAAAGTGACATCTCGCTTCCTTACACAAGGTTACCACCAAAGCCTGATTTCTGTAAGCACAGTTATGTCCACCCTGGTGCCTACAGTCCTAAGGTCTACAGACAACCCTCCCGTGGGCAGCACATAAGAGACAATCACAACTGGGTAACACAGGAGAAGGATCGAGTTCCACTGCATATTCACTTGGCTACTGCGCTAGCAAGGTGCCAAACACAGTGAAGTTCTGAATGCTCATAGGCAGCTCATGGATAACTGCTTTAATCAAAGCAGTTTTCAGAGCACTGGAACGACCCTGAGTTATGCATCTTCTGTCTTGATTGTGTAGGTATATTTTTCTATTCACAACATATTTTCTAATTTTTCTTCCCACCATCATCATCTTCAACTTCCCCTAAAATGCCTGTTTCTAAATGAACTAGACAACAAATCAAAAAATCCAACCAACCAAAACAACCCCAAAACTATGAGAGGCTAAGTATTTCAAAAAAGGGTAAAGAAGCAGAGGTATTTTCACAGTATTGGTTTTCTGTGATATTTTTCAGTTTCTTAAAAATGTCTAAATGAGTAAGAAGTTCAGAGTGTTTAATGATTTTGCACCCTACCATAAAATCACCCAGGGATCTGCTGATTGTCCCACCAAGGGAGGACCAGCAGTCTTGGATTTGAATTCTCTGTAGTACCAGCAGCTGCTGAGTGTGGGGAGAGAAGGAGCACTAAGACATCATCCAGCAGCAAGAGGACCTTTAGGACAGAGACAGCAGAAGAAAATGCAGTGAAAGGGATAGAAAAATGGTTGGAAAATGGGGGAGGGGGAAGAGAGAAGGCAGCAGATCTTTCTGTAGCTGTTTGTCTTCCAGGTTTCCTGGGCTTTCCATTTTGCAAGGTCCAACTTGGGAACACCACAGAAGCCAGAAAGCAACTATAGAGAGCATAGAAACTTGGGCAGCAAGTCACTGAACAGTCACAGACCCAACACGGAAAACCAGCCAGCATCTCTTTGGCAGCAAAGCTCTCCATGGTGACTGTAGTATGAGGGAAAACTCAAAATGGTACCTAGGGTCAGAGAGCACAACACATGAGACAACTAGATGTATAACAGAGAAATAAAACTGGCACAGGCCACATTCACAGCCTTAAGAAGGTGGTGCTGACACCACCACTGTTGTGCCCCTGCCTCCTCCTTCCCTATCTTGGTATCATGATTCCCTTGTGAACAGAAGGGAGGCTGAATGAACTGATCTCTGCAGAGGTATAACCAAGAGCAAGTTTCTGCAGTTTTGGTGGCAAGGTAAAGCACAAAGAGCATGGTCAATCACCACATGCAGAAAGGGAGATACTGTTAGTCATACAGCACTGCTGGATGCTGTGCGGACACTTCCAAGAGGGATGTCTCGTTTTCGAGACAGCTGGACATCTTCCAGACCCTGAACCAGTCTTGCTTTGCCAGATGGAAAATTCTTCTTTTTGTTCCGGAGCTGGCTTCTTGCAAATTCTTCTCCAGCCCCTCCCAGGTGGCAAGGACAGAGGAAAAGGTACATCTCTGACACCTCGGAGGAGGGCTGAGAGGATGGTATCAAATTCTATCTCTCCAACTTTATACTACTGTAACTAATTAGAATATAAGGAAAGGGATGATGAAAGACAGCAACAAAATGAACCAAAGGAAAATAAAATACACAGACTCTCAGCTGACTATAGGTTTAAAGCTTCCCAGTCCAAGAGACACACTAAATCAGGGGATTGTCTCCCAGAGGAAGTGCCATAGTTTAACAGAGCTTGACTGGACAAAAGCCACTAGATGTGTGAACAGGAACAAGCCTGATTCAACAAGATGGATTGCTCTGAACTTTATCACTCTTTTCCAGCCTCAATGTCCCATCCTAAGATTTCCCTTTGTGTTCTTTCATGCCCAGTCCTCGTCACTTCCTTAAGCTCTAGCTCAACAAAAGTTCCTCTTCTCAGTTAAATTTTACATACCCAGGACTTCTCACACCCCCACCCCCCCCACACCAAGTATGCTATTCTTCACACAATATCCCACTCCATTTAAAGGAAACCCCAACCAGCCATTCACCACCAGAATTATTAAGGCATGTGGTCTTTGCTGAAGCAAAGGATAATTTTGTATTTCTAAATAAATGCAGCTTGCTTCCAGTCACAAACAGATTGCTTCTTAATTGAACTTGGGAGGTGAATTATATGGTGAATTAGGAAAAAAGAACAACTCTGTATTTAGTGAATTGTTTCCCTAAGACAGAGCTATATGGGATTGAATTGCAAATGACGGCACCAAAACAGCCGGGCCCCCTCTCTTGCACCCGAGCTGCTGACCTCTGCCATGCTGCAGTGTCATTTGCACAGACTGCTTTTCCAAGCTGTGAGCACATTCTTTCCCAGAGATCAGTGCAAGCCTTGGTTTCTTATGCAAAGGAGATGTTTGAATAAACTAGTGTGACTAATGAAACCTACAACATCTTTGCATATTTTGTCTCATTGTAGCTGTTGAAAAGGGAGAGCACTACACAAAGGCAATATATGGGTGTGCAGATATACCGGATATTTTCAAACACTACTAATCTCACCAGTACTAGGGAGCACCCATACCCTCCTCTTCCATAAGGGTGCTTTTGAATCATACATGAACATTTTGGAAGATCCTGTTCCGATTTCCTTGCGCTTTTAGATATTTCCTATCCTTATGATACCTAAACATATCCCAAAGATTAAAGTGACTTAACAGACATTTAGTCCTCTCTTCTGATTCTTCCCAAGAGAAGACTAATTCAGGATTCTAGCAAAACAAAGATAAGCAACTGATGTGCCAAAATCAGTAAACAAGGAAGCAAAGAAATGCACCTTGAATATGGAAGCAGCTGCACAAGATTGCAGGCAATGTGCAGGTCCTGTTGCCCCCTCAAGATGTTCCTGAAGTTGTACCCTTCTGATGGACTATTCTGTCATGTCTGAGAGCAGAGCGGATTCCAGCCTTACTGCTCCAGAGCATGAAATGCCCACGTATGTATTGAAGCCTATTATCATGAGAAACGCTGGAGAGGAGAGTGGAGATCTTCAGTTTGACACAATGCTCTGTGGAAAGCCAATACAGTAATAAAAAGGCAGGCTTGGCCTACCGCTTACTGTAACCCATAATGAGATGAGCAAAGCAGGACTAACTTTTCTGTTTTTTAAAATGTATATTTAACAGTTAACAGGCCCTCCAAGATCATCCTCAGTACTTCCCACCTGCTGCAGTGACAGACCAGCCATCGCCTTTCTCCAGCCTGACTGTTTAAGCTTTGTCTGCTTCTCCCACAAGCAAGGATGACACACAATTTCATAGATCATGCCTCCATGCAGGAAGCTGTACTAGATCTAGGCCCTTTCAACTCCCACATTTTTTGGAAAGTTCCTAACAATTTGTTCTGTTTAACAGCTACAACCCCAGCAGGACACTGCTGGACTCCCTAACTAGATAATTTAGTCTCTGTGAATGACCTGGCAGAGAACACACAAGAGATTCTCTGCCCAGACTGGGAATATTTCATCTTCTACCTACAGTGCACTTGTACAACAACTCTTTTTTCTGTTTCCCACAGACCAGCACTGCCAAGGG